TATATATATATATGTATATATATATATATATATATATATTTTAATATTAATTAAACAATCTGAAACAGTTTCAAGACACTTGGATAGCACTCTGCCATAGTATTGCAGAATCATGCAGCGGATGTGAAGTGAACCAAAATTTTTGCTCGCATCTTATTCCTGTGGTGAGAATCCGTATATCTAAATGAGGCTATCAACGCAAAAGTGGTGTAACCCATGCAATGCATATAGGAGGCTTTAAAATTAGCAAAAGGGTCATTCAAAAGTGACGGGTGGGATATGTTAAAATCTGTTAAAGTTAGCTAAATTGCAAGAGTGATCAAAAAACTACCTTCATAGATGACCTTAGAATGCTACTATGCCGCACCTTAGACGTCCTGTCACATTTTTTTTATTTATTATTATTACACTCTTCAATTTACAACTAACAAAAACAATGTGCATAAACCTATACAGATTTTTCGCACTATTTTCAGTCGTCAACTACACAATTTATAAAATTGAAAACATATTGAATATTATAGTAGGTAAGATAATTATATCTCCGTGGCAAATATCACAGACAACACGCTAAAAGTATTTTAGAAAAAAGCAGACACATAAGCCTAATCATTAATACATTACGTATTAATGGTTAGGCGCAAACCAGCACCACTAGCTCGACAAACAATGTATTGCAACGCATTGACAACTGGCGAACGCTGTGAAGTCTGAATTGATCACAATAAATGTGAAAACTAAAATAATAAAACAATAAAAGCTTAATAAACATTTAATTAGACGCATTTCATGAGAAAACGACCACTTACCAATCTAAATTGGTACTAACAGTACTTTTTGCACAGATTAACACGTTTCCTCATTGTCAAAATGTTTGCAACGATATATTTATTTGTAAGACAATGAACGATATGGTCAAAAAACAGCCACAGTTTTTAGTAGATTTTACAAACAGATTTTTTTTATAATTGGCAGAATATTTAACTCTTTTAAAATCATTTGGTAACTTTAACTATTAAGCTATAGGTACTCATAACATAAAATTAAATTTTACGTCTCCATGTCGTGCCCGTTGTTATGACAAATCATACATGATCAATACTATAATAACTAAATTTATTTATACATGAAAATAGCTTCTAAATAATAATTATATACAGACGGCAGCACATTAAGCTACACATTAACGGCGATCTTGTTTCGTTGCACTGGAGACGATATTCGAGCATGATGTACTGTTGACTGTGATTTAGTATCATTTAAAGTGATATGAAAAAAATGAATGTGATTTACGCCACTTTTGCGAATTCACAACTTGATCGACGTACTTAAGAATTTCACATACTTACAGTGTGTGGAAAGATGTCGTCAAGGTAACACAGACGTCTGCATAGTACTGCAAAGTTTAATTTACAATCATCAACGTAACCTAAAGTTGTTTTTCGAAAGCGGAGGACAATCTATTTTTACAAGGTTTGTAAGTGCTTTATACATAAACCAACTCTTTTCGAAATATAACTGATAATGATGATGATGAATTTCAGACCACTACTGCAATATGACACGTGTATGCAAATGTTAAGCAACATTATTCAAACTTCAGAGCAAGCTGTACAATCTGTGTACAGTTCTGGTTTAATACATCATTTGCGAGACTTTTTGCATTTGTATGGTCCTTACTCCCAAGTAAGTTTTTGTTTTATTTCAAAAGAACATCATTATCCATTTCTTATTCCTGTAGCCTCCTCCATTTCTCACGTTCCATAGCCAGAACTCAAGTAGCGTTTTCGCCCGACACGTTTAAGTCTATTCCGTCCATAACTGAGACAGTAGCTTGCGATAGCCGTAGCGTCTACGGGGTACTAGAACCTCGCGAGACTCGGTTACCTGAGCGCTTGGCAGCCGTGTCGTCGCCCTCGCACTTTGCGGTCGGTTCGCCGGTGATGATCACGATCGATCGTAACCGCGCGACTTATCTTCATTTCCCCCAAGTTTGCAGTCCGTACCGTAACCGCGGCGGCTACGTGATCGCACAAACCTGCGCTGCGGTGTCGTGATTATTGAAATAAATCAGCTGTTCAGCAGCCGCAGCGGGCGCGAGTAAAACCGCTCCGTGAATTCTTAACCCAATAGCTGTTCTCTTTTATGTAAAAACGCTTAAATGCTTAAACGTCTTCCACAGGTCGGCCAGTGGTCAACTATAATACTATATCATCTGGATAATCGCATGAAGGGTAAACACTTTGTGTAGAATTATTTGTTAACGTAAATAATAAAGATTCCGAAAAACAAATGGAAATGCAGTGAACTAAGGTTAACTGTAATAAGCTGCGTTAAAATGAGTTATTGAAACACAAACACAGAATATACCGACAAAATTTTTAGCAAACAATTTGTTCAAATCACAATTCTTCGAAAAAAACTGTACTTCAGAATAATATACTAAACTTAAAGTTACCGATGTATGTACGTAAGTTTTGAGTGACAACATAGGTAGGGACTATGTATTATTTCCAATACTATTATTATTATTTTAAACACCTGCTATTATTTCCGTGTGATGGAATAGTTTAACAAGCACCAAAGTCGCTTTTTAATTTATAATAGACGATTTAATAACAACAATAGTTTCTGGTAAAATATGAATTAAGTTAGTAGAACAGTATTAACATGTTAGCAAGATTTTTCGAAATTTCAGTATATTCGGTTGTTTTCGTATTTTTATTTGCACAAAAGTTTCGGTAGCTTAGTAAATAACGGAGTAATATTCATAATTTGAATAAGCCAATTTTTAATTCACTTTTCGGAACTTTTATTAGTGCCAATATTATAATTAACCCGTGCGATGTCATTTATGCCATATGTAAAATTTTAGGTTCGCAAAATACAGTCATGAATATGTCAAATGAAAAAAACAAAAAAAATCACGACGATGGAACTCCAACACGCAATAATTTCAGTTACCGCCAATTTTTAGGCGAACAGATTCCTAAAGGAAATCTGAACGAAACACAGTTCCCCAAAAAAGATATGCATCATTTAACTAGACATGATATAACATTCACAACCATGGAACATCAGAGAATAAATTCTGTAGTTGAAAATATACAGTCTAAAAGCGAAATTCACAAAGTTCCGATAGATGACGACACAACTAATTTATTTAATAATATTATCAGAGAAGTAATTTCCTGGAAATCCAAAAATGAGTTAAATCTTCATAAGCCGTTTATTCCAATAATTGAAACAAATAAATGTCATCAAAATGAGAGCCAAAACTATAAGGCTGATCAAGCGCGTAAATTCGAAAACACTGAATTGAGAGCACAGCCAAAAAATAACTTAAGCTTCGCAGATTTAAGCAGAGAATGTGGTGTAAAAAATGAACTGTTGGATTTATTTCCTATGAACAAATATTTTGGCGAGGCCGATCAAATGAGTAATACTTGTTTGAATTTCTCCAAAGTGAGTAATAATTTGGTAACGATAGGATTTAAAAAGAATGTAAGTAAAAGTACACGTGCATTCCAGTACTCAAAAGAAAAGTATAGTGAAATTGATCTAAGAGATTTCAAGCCAGCTTTTGTTTCTACGCCGAAACGACACCTAAATGGGAATTCATCAACACAATCTAAATTACAAAACTTTACCAACGTGTCTTACAATAGCCAAGTAATAAGATCCCAAAGAAATCGAATAAATAAACAACACAAAACAAATAAATCGAAAATAACACAAACAACACTCACTACACCAAAAGATGTCAAACAGAGATCAATGAGTGCAAGACTCTTTAGCGCAATCAATGATTCTTGTACGGTTTTAGTAAAAAGCGTTAAGAGTATATTTACATCGAAGAAAGATTTTGATAAAAAGATCGAAAATTCAAACAGTGGTAATAGTGACAAAAATTTCGAGGTTGATTCATGTAGCTACAGTTTTACGAACTACATGCGAAAAAGGGACGCAGTTCTTGAAAATGAAAACAAAACTGAAAACATGGAATATGATGATTCCAGTTATATGTACAGGGATTCGTGCAGGACGTGCAAAGATACCATAATCTTACAACACAAAATGGCTAGTGATGAAAACTTACAGCTAACCATAAAAAGACTCAAAATAGGCGTTAACTTATACGGATGTAACTTCAAGGTAATGAATGAAATGGTGATGTAAATCATAAGACAAACGTTGAAAAGTTTCAGTTGCTATTGTTTGTTACAGAAAATATCAAAAACATTGTGGCCACGCAACAGGTACATGACGCCGAGTATTCTTTATAATTTGTATCGGAAGTTGGTAATAAATGGTGGCTATCAGAAAAACTTTCAAGAATAACATTAGAACAAATAATTCTACAATTTCAATTTATTGTTTCAAAGAATATAAATATCTTGCAAGGTATTAAAGTAAAACATAAAAAGGTAGTTTCATTCTTTGTTTCGGTTCCTTAGCACAGATTTAAATCTTACTAACAAGTTTATAATATTCCGACTCATGGCGCACCATATCCTTTGTAATATCTTTAATAGAAGGAGTTCCTGAAAACAAGAGATTGTTATTTAAAATGCACAAAGTGAGAGTGGGCTCAGCGGTCGTTAGCTTTACGTTTAGCTTACCTGCTATTTGTAGCGTATATTCAAGTTCTGTGCGGAAAATGTTCAACATTTTCATGACTCCAGCTTGGCCACTCACAGCCAAGCCCCACAAAGCGGGCCGCCCAACAAATACCTACGAGTAACAAGGTACATATAAAATTCCATAACAGTATTTTTGTTTAAAATAAATAAAGTTTACCATTTTTGCACCCAGTGCAATAGCTTTGAAAACATCAGTTCCAGTTGTAACGCCACCATCAAAATACACTTCCACGTTGTAGTTCTTAACGGCTTCTACAATTTCTGGAAGAACTTCAATCTGAAACAATACAAATGTAGAAATAGTAATTACCAAGTTCAGGAGTGTTCTCCGCAACCACAACTATTACGATTCTGTGGTGTAAGCACTTTACAAAGAAAAGAAACAAAAACGGCAACATCGGAGGGCTACGACTCCGACAAAACTACAACAAAAGACTTGGTGACAGCCGGAGACGAAAGTATGTGTGTCACAAGGGGCGATTGGGCTATGAAAAGGTTTATCCCAGTTCCCACTGTCATTGTCTAATTTCCACTTACTGTAGGTGGTACACCGTCAAGTTGTCTTGCCCCATGGTTGGAGACTAAAATAGCTGAGCCTCCTGCCTCGATAGCTTTTACGGCATCGTCACTGCGCAAAATTCCTTTTACCACTATTGGCAATTTTGTGATGCTGCAATATATGTATTTCGTTTATTATTTATTTTGACATCGTACGCTTTCTTACTTCCTAACTTGTTTAAAGTTATTATTTGTTCTTGTAACAAAGATATAGTTTTACCTTTTGAGCCATTGTATATCTCCCCATGTTAGCGATTTATCGAACAAGCTGTTGACATACTCGTTAAGACCACTGCCTTCACTAGTACTATGAATTTTTGTTGACAAATAACCATCAAAGTTTGCTAATCTGTAATCAACAATAAATTAATGCCTTACTTTTAATTACATGCAAGTATCTCTTAGATGCAAACCTGTGAATTGTGTTACCTCAAATGTTCAGGCAAAGTAAACTTATTTCGAATATCAGCTCGTCTAATTCCAAAAAGAGGCGTGTCAACTGTTAGGACGATAGCTTTAAAGCCAGCCTTCTCAGCTCTCAGTACTAAATTCCTAGTGACCTCACTGTAAGATTGAAATTAAACTATAAGTTACGATTGCCAAATTTTTTTATAAAAATATATATATCAAACAGCGTTATAATTACGCATTGCAATTCATATATTTTCAATAATATACAGAAATTACCGATCATTATAAATATACAATTGAAACCATTTGGTAACTTTGGGCGCAGCTGCAGCGACTTCTTCTATGGAACTCGTGGCTATTGTGCTCAGTGTGTAAATCGTGCCCATAGCTTCAGCAGCTGTAATAAGTCGTATTTAGAGAGTTCAAATATCGTTTGATAAAACTACAAATAATAGTAATTTATTTAGCAAGACCTTAAAATTAAACAAAAAGATTTAGCTGTAGATTAATTCTAAACTAAATGGCTACCGACTTTCCATATAAATACATTAGTTTCAAATGTATGAGGTCGCAGAAGAGCTTGTTAATATCGTTTATATATTATCGTTTGGACAAAATAACTTGCTATTGAACGGTTACCTCTTGCATTAGCAAGTTCTCCTTCAGGGTGTGCCATCCGCTGCATGGCGGTAGGCGCTATACCAACCGGCATAGATACATCTTGACCAAGCACTTTGGTGCGTAGATTGTAGTTTAAAACTCCAACCAAACATTTTGGTCGGATGCGTAATCTGGAAATTTGATCTCGAAATATTTAACTTACTTTCTTCTACTGTAAAACAAACACTAAATACAATATTCGTATCCGTAAATTGGTACTTACCTTTGAAACGCTACTTTGTTCTCTTTTAGAGTAAATTCTTCAGTAGCACCACTTTTGTAATAGTCTCGAGCATTTTGTGGCAACAGCGCAATCGCCGCTTCTTCTAAATCTTTGACACTGATGTACTTTTCCATTGTTAAACTATGTGAATCAACGGTTTCAGAAATACTATAAGTGGAAATGAGTCTTACGGAATATTACTTATCGTTTATAGAACAAAAGGGCAGCTCTGTAGGTCACAGGTCAAGTTCTTGTTTAATATCAAGAGCTCATTACTTTACCAGAATTTCATCACGACCCGATTAACTATATGATGTATACAAAAATCGCTACTACTCCGTTCCGCGGTAACGTGAACTGAGCCATAGTATACATGATATTGTTTGACCTGTCTTCTTGTAAATAGTAATTATAAACAACTGATGTTTGTAGAGTTAATCTTTACCGATAAGGCTTATCAATGAAACACACACAAAAAGTTTTTGAATTTATTCTTGATTTTAATATTATAATATCTGTATGAATGCTATTTTGGTAAGCATTCTTGTATAATGTCAAATGCCATTTGTTAAATATTTGCCATAGAAATGTTATACAAAACACAACTGATCTTATAATAATTCTATCAATTAGACATTTTACACTGTTCAGATGAAAATCGCGTTTGAATGTGTTTACACATTATAAAACTTGGGACTTCAATAGGTTTATGTTACTGTCAATGTACTTGATACGTGTTTAAGTAATATTCTGCCAATATATGAGATTGCACAGATATATGCACAATTAAATGTTACGGAAACCCAAAAATTTACGAGTTCCAAATCATTTTGCCGCAATTAACCTTAAATATGACTTATTACTGCTTGCATATTTTTATATTTACATGATTTTTGAAACTCGTAAATTTGAAGTCTATTTTTCATAATATTTGGTAGTTTTGCACTTTTCCGTCATTGCTATTTCACCTATCTAACCCTAACTTCAATCACATTTTTTCTTCATTCAACAAAACATCATTTAACTTTTGCATTTATAAAAGTTACAAAACATTTAAATTATTAAGCTATCAAGAGTAGGGCCACCAAATTTCCCTCAATTTATAACCCATCTTTGGTAAAAACTTTAACAATAGTCAGCGGTTAATCGACAATCGTTCCCAAAGTTGTCCTGTATTCACTTCAAGCATTACGTCTGCAATTTTGACTCAATATTAAAATCCTTATTGAATTAAAATAATTACTTCAAAACAGGTAAAAATCGACATAAGCAATTCGGTTTAAAATATCTTTAAAACTAACTCTTGTTAATAATAGATCAAAGTACAGACTATCAGGTGCAAGCGAATTGAGCAAATAAAAGTAAATAAGGCACTGATCTCTGCGACTAACAATTTAATGATGTTTTCTACGTGACATGTTACTGTGATGACTAAATACTCTCAAAAACGCTGCAATGAGTATATCGAAAAAGTGGAATGAATAATTGGCAAAAGGTGAATAGAAAAGACTTACTACATGAAATGGTAGAGTTTACGGACATTGCCTGATAGCCTGGATGATGCCATTTAACCACTAGAAAGAAGGAAAATATGATACAACCATTTGTGAAATATAAAAAAATAAATAACATATATTACAAAGCAGAACATTGACATAGCAACATTTTCCTGTTAGACTAGTCGTTAATACCTATATCTACAATTTATATTGAATTAAAACCTAAGTTTGTATCATAATGTATCTAGCAAATAAACAGAAAGCCCAATATTTTAATACATAGTCATGCTAGACCAAAGATATTTGGCTTCACATCTAAATTGTATGCTTATGTACAGTAAATTTCTAGCAGATAAAGTCTTGACGCTTTCTTAAAAAGACATGAAAATTGCATTGATTTGAGCGATAGCGGAACTTTGTAAAACTAATACCGTCCACATACTGCGCTTAAACAAACACCGACCAAACAAACGACTTGCGACAGTTAAAATTGTTAAGTTCCACCAACTTATTTTCACAAATAAAATTAGTTTACATATTTCCATTTTTTTGAACGGTCATGGTTGCGACTCGTAATGATAAAAAGTTGATACGAAGTGTGCCTTCGTGTGTAAAAGAGAAGAGGAACCTAGATCAAATTTCATAAGAAAAAATCTAAATACATAGTCAATATAAATGGACTGATAAAACCATAAGAATCTACAGCAGTCATTATGTCCTAGATAATAGGAAACTTCAAACCTAGTGCATTAAAAGCGTACGTGTAAATGCTGCAGGTTACATCATGCAAAATCCATATTAATTCATGTTACAGTATACACCAACAACCAATATTAACATTTTTGTGTAAAAGCATCCTACTTTTGAGGTATCCCCATACATATCCGCATCAAAATTGTCTATTGAGTACGACCGAATTGGCTATTTTGTTTTTCATACGAATTGCAAAACGCCCAGACAACTACGCGGCTCTGTTTAGGTTACCCTTGATTAATAGTTTTATTTCGTCAACCGTGAGAATCTTTAGATAGCACCCTCCTAGCATTATCTATGATAACCTATTTTTGTATTCAATTGTAATACTAACTCACACCAATATTCTCAAATAAAAATAGTAAAATGCACATTATAAAAGCTAAGAACTAGTATGAGTTGTTACTCGCTATATTATTTGTTTGTTTATTAGTTGATACTTGTGATGTGAAAATACATATTATATTCTTAATATCGTACAGTGGTAGTTTAATCAGTAAGCAGAAACTTAGGATTTCGACCAACCCCGTTAAGTCCATTTCTAACTCTAGCTTCGCCTTGTATATTCACCGCGCTTTCAATGTGTTCATTTAATTAATCTGTGTGTTCTTATTTTTTCCCTGCGCACAGTATGTGATTTCATTTAGGTATCAGCGTGCAAGCACTGCATCTTTATGTTGCTAAGCAACGACGGTGTTATTTTTGACATATATCTTCTAATATGAGTTAGGCGCAACGCTTTTATTTGTGAAGCAATAAATTGTGATCGCGCTTAAAAGTCGTCGAAATGATAACATTAGCGTAATTAATTCGAACGACATAGAACAGCATACGTTCATTATAATGCAATATATTTTAATGTGTATATAAGTAAATAAATCTAACTATTGAAACCTAATATGAATACAATCTTATTTAACAAATAAATACTATGGTACTTTTAAAGCGGAGATTTAAATTAGATAAATAACTAAAATAATGAGATGCCCGAACGACTCTATCGCACGCCTGACGCGACTGGAACCGAAGCGCGGCATCCCGTCGGAGCGGACGACATGGGGGCGAGAACGAAACATTCGACGTAATACTTAATGATAAATGCCCTCGTAAACGAACTTACACATATCGTTAACATCACAGAACAAAACTACGGCTAAGCACGGATCCGGCAACGTTCCGCGGCGGCTGAAAAGACTAGAGGCAAGGACCTCATCCGCGCTCAGAGCCCAGCAGGGGGCGCGGGTGGTGCGGGAGGCGACGGTGGTGCTGGTGGCATGAGTGGCCCCAACACCAGAGGCCGCTCGTTCTGTTCGTCCTCTCCACCCTCTTCCCCGCTCTCGTCGCCGGCTTCGCCGCCCTCGCCTTCGCCCTCACCTGACCCCTCCGCCGTGTCTCGAGTTTCCTCCTCCTCGTCTTCTTCTTCTGGACAAAACTGGTATGCTCTGTAAAATATATATATATAATATTAGTGTTAGATTCGAAATAAGTTATATTATATTTTGTTTTAACCCAAGACAAATTGTACGTACTTTTCGAGCGTTTTCCGTGCAGAGTTGCTGCGCTCGAGGAAATAACCGGTGGAAGTTTCGTTGGAAGCACCGGGTGGAGACCACGTGCCGTATGAGCCATAACCTCCGGGTCCATACTTCTGAAAGCGTTCCCACAAATCAATTCTCGGGATAACATCGCAGACTGCTAATTTTAACATGCAGCGTATGTCATTGCCTCATTAAATTTTAAGAAGATAGTGCGTAACATACATAAAATAGTATCTACGCATTGAAAAAAAAAAAGCTAGCAACGTTGAGGCAACAGTCGTTGGTTCGAGTCCAGTCGAGTCGAAGGAATTTTTCTTTGTGTTTGTTCGATCTTTGTACCAATAATAATAACATACTAGTGAACAATTTTGACAATAAATAGTTGATATCATGATGTTCAATACATGCAAACTAATATTATAAATGCGAAAGTAACTCTATAGGCTTCTTTTTGTCACAAAAACCAATCTTAAAGGGGAGGAAAGTTTGTGTGGAGGACCAATATAAGAAAATGAGTATACTGCAGTAGGCTACTCAAAAAGCTTATTCTAAGCAGACGAAGTCGCGGGCACCAGCTAGTAATAAAATATTGCAAAATAAAAAAGATACTCACGCGGTCGAGCTCGTCTTGCAGCCAGGCGAGTAATTGCCTCCACCGCCGGCGGGCTTCTGGTCTGGCGTGCACGGCGCGCACGGCGGCCGGCGCGCGGCACATAACGCCCACCACTAGCTTGACGCACGCGTACGCGCGCTTCTGGTAGTGCCCGCGTGCGCGCGCCGCAGTCTCCAGTAGGCCTGGACGCTCCTCCGAAATACCCTGTATAATCACCATGTGCAACTAAGTTGTGATCTTCATCATTATCAACCCATTTATACGTCCCACTGCTGGGCACGGGTTTCCTCTCTGGCGAGGGTTTTAGGCCATAGTCCGCCACGTTGGTCGAATTTCATTTCACGCGGATTGGAATTTCACACGTTTTCCGAGAGTTGTGAACCTTATTCGATGTGCAGGTTTGATCACGATGTTTTCCTTCACCGAAAAGCATATTTATTTTATGTATATTTATTTTTTCAAACAAACCAACCAACTAGGTTCCATAGTCACGGCTGACCATGGGACCAGTGAAGGGCCCAAAACGTTTAACTAAATTCAATGGTCAGTCAATCGGATCTTTAAAAAATAGTTTAATTTCCGATGTGTAACAATCGCGAAAACCCAAGAACTCTATGTTATCTAGTTAATATAAGTTACTAATGATAATATTTCCGAATATCTGTACATTTATTTAAGCGAATTGTGTGACATTAACCTTAATGACATTGTGTATGCGATGGTGTTGCCAGCTGTCCTCCATTAGCAGCAGTTCGGTGAGTGCGTCGGCATGGCGGCGCAACTCGTGGCAATACGCGTACGCCATTTGCCACAGCAACTCAGCCAGCGCCATGCGCGACCACCCCGCATGCTCCCAGCACAGGAATTGCAGCAGCCGGATGCCCTCCTCGCACCCGCAGCACTCTTCTGTTAGTTTCTTCATGTATGTCCTGAATTCATATTACCTTAGTGGTTTTTCTTTTAATGTTAAATAATAAACGAACCGAAGGCAAGGCAGACAAGAACCAATGGTTATGGCAATTCAAAGTGAAATTGTCCAGAAATGGTGACAAGCTGGACTGGAGCAAGAATACACTGAAAAGACTTCGACGATACGCTACACACCCGCTTCTGTTGTACAGTATATCGGCAACGGTGGTGGAGAGTTGCGGGCGCGCAGGCCCGTTGGTATTCGGAGGGTCAGCGTATGGGTTGGGCAGCGGCAGCGCACCGTCTGCGGCGTTGGCCGACTGGCAGCGCGAGCTCACGTCGCAGCATCGCACTAGCACGCATACCACCTGCAAACAACACGTATTAAAGGCCTATATACGGGACGATTTATCTTTACGATCTGTCGACAGTACATGTTTATGTCGTGAACAATGTAACTTGAACCCTAGGGGAGTAGCAACGGATCGATATAATGTGGATATGTATATTTAATATAGATATGATTTTCCTGATGATCGATTGAAATAAGAAATCTTCTGCACATGAGGGCCTTTAGGCCGCGTATACACTTTAGTACATTATTAAATCATTGCACAGAAGTCAAACTAAATATAAAAATAATCTTACCTGGTGGATTTTGGCAGATTCGGGATATTGGTACTTTCCGAGCGAAGAGTACGAATCGTCCATGCAAACGGTTAATACGATATCTAAGATTTTCAGCTGAAAACAAATCAAAAGGATAAGTTTTACAATATGTTAATTAATTTTATTTTTAATCATAAATTAGCTTAACTAACCCGCAATAACTGATGGCGCTCGTTAAGTCCAAACGCAGCGTACGCATGGAAAAGATTGAAGAGCAGCGGTAAGTGACGATGCACATGCGCATCCGAGTGGTGTGGCGCGGCCAGTGATCGCGCAGCGCACAAAATTTGATCTGACAATGACGTCGCTTCCTCTCGCGATGTCCACGACCCGTATCCGCTTGGCACTGTACACAAATTGAGTAAATTAAACAAGGCAATCGTTTTAGGGTACCTATACCAATCGCCTCGCTTTTCAATGCCGCACGTCTATTATATAATAGGGGTTAAAGTATGAAATTGCCGATTTGTACTGAAAATCTAATTGTTTATTTTTTAAATTTTTAACAAATTTATTTAATCAAAATAGTTGCCATTATTATCTATACATTGCTGCCATCTAATGGGAAGGTTATTAATGCCTTTGCGATAGAACTCCGACGATCTAGACTGCACAAACTGTGTGAAAGCATTTTGTACTGCCTCCTGGGAAGAAAACTTTTTGTCACGTAGATAATTGTCCAAATCACGAAAAAAATGGTAGTCCGTTGGAGCAAGGTCTGGTGAATACGGAGGATGACGAATGGTTTCTAACTGCAGTTCCTGAAGGGTCAAAATGGTTTCTCGTGCTGTGTGAGGTCTCGCGTTGTCGTGGAGCAATAATGGTGAAGATCGATTCATGAGTCGGGGCTGTTTTACTGCTAGTTTTGTCAACATGGTTCGGAGTTCGGCACAATAGACATCTGCCGTTATTGCTTGACCAGATCGGAGAAAACTATAGTGAATAACACCATGCTGAGACCACCAAACAGTTACCATTACCTTTTTATTGGTAAGTTTTGCTTTAGGACACTGTTGTGGCATTTGACCTGGGGTCAGCCATTGCATTTTTCTTTTCCGGTTATCATAAAGAATCCACTTTTCATCACATGTTACAATTCGATCCAATATTCCTTCATTTCTGTACCGGTTCAACAAGGCAACACAAGTTTCAACACGCGTTTCTTTCTGCAGATCAGTCAAATCATGAGGCACCCATTTTTCGTATTTTTTTATTTTATTGATTTGACGCAAGTGAGTCAATATTGTGGGTAAGGTAACGTTAAACCATGCCGCTAATTCCTGGGTAGTTTGACTAGGATCGGCTTCCACTATCTCTCTTAATTCATCGTTATTCACCTGTGTGGGCGGTCTTCCTCGTGGCTCGTTCTTTAAGTCGAAATTTCCATCACGAAAGCGTTTAAACCAAAATCGCACGCTGCGTTCATTAGTAGACCCCTCTCCAAACGCAGCATTGATATTGCGGGCTGTTTCTGCCGCGTTAGTTCCGCGTCGGAACTCGTATTCAAAAATCACTCGAATTTTCGCAGTATCCATCTTTCTTGTCTAAATTGAATAACAAAAACAATTGAAAGTCGATATTCAAATGTTTCAAATTTAAAAAAAAAAAATCACAGAAACCATTTGAAAAAAGTTTCATTCGAAAACCTCAAACCATGAAGATTCTATGAAAATTCAAAGAACCTATTGCAATAAAACGGCAATTTCATACTTTAACCCCTAATAATAAAAATTACGTCTTAATAAGATAAGCTTATAAAAACTGATTATTGTGCTAAAATACTTTATCCTAATAGCAATGTTTCGGGGATACACAACCATTGGCTGCTCTTTTAGTTATACTTCGTAAAATTTGCTTGATTAGAATGAGCGGTCGACATAATTTGTGGCAGCGTCCTACAAATTATGTTTTTGAAACACAATAAATATTTTACTAATTTACGTTACCACACATTAACACACTATCATTGAAATCCGCAAATCATTGCCATTCACTATAGTCGTCACAATGTAAGAGGCCCAATTTGACAGTTAAAGAAGACTATAGTATGCATTGACCTACCAACAAAAGTATGTAACTTGGAATGAAATCAACGATACAGTAACCAAACAATAGTAACTTATTTAAGTAAGGGTTTAAGTGAAGCATTATACAGGGTTATTTTTAAAACGTTAACAACCTGATAGGGCTATATTACTTTTTAACTAACAGCAGTAGAGCTCCTAGTGAAAAAGTTCGTCCAGCGAAGTATGCCACCTTACCTATTTCTGCCGTCATGTAGTAACGAGAGATTACTGCGTTCCGGTTTTGAAGGGAAGGGTGCTAGTGAAATTACAGGCACATGGCACTTGTTAACTTATGTCTAAGATGTCGGGGGCTGTGGCAGTGCCCCTCAGATATTTGCGACCTAAAATTTTGAGTGGCAGAGCAACAGTCATGGATAGGCGTGTCGCTTATCACCAGCCGCACGACTTGTTCGGGCCGTCTCTTAATATCATAAAAAAACTAAAATCTTAAACAAGAACTCTTGTTCCACGACTTTTAATCATTCATCACATGTTACTTTCATACAAATATAAGATATTTAAATTGACCACTCTAAAAATTCTAAACTGGTTGTGCGTATTATGCCGTAAACACCTGTCACTTAGGTCCTCTCGCTATACGTTAACATTACACTTGACCTATATTTGGCTATCAGTCGGTCTAGGTCGGTCAAATCGACGCGCTCGCGTCGTGTTTTTTGTAACTGAGTTGAGTAACACGAAAATGGTATGAATACTTGCTTGGTGTAGTGATAATGTGTTGAAAGCCAGGTCATCGCGTCCGGAAGAGCGTGCAAAGAAGACGTGTCGCAAAAACTTGTGTTTATTTAAATCGAATATTGTGAATATTGCAACCTATTTCCAACTTTCTATTAACCGCATAAGTCATTAGTTACACTGTGAAGTTCTTTGTTCCTTGCCACACTTCGGTCCCAGATGTTGTGTCAAAGTTGCAGAAAGCGCCCCTCACAACTTTCAGTGAAAAGATACCGCCTCGGTTTTTAATATTTTTTGTCCCGCTCTTGCAGCAAAGCGTATACATCTTTACTTCGACCGCCTTCACTACTATCGTAAACCAACATGAGCATACTGCGCTTTCCTAGTAGAAGTGACTCGAACATCGGACGAAGTAGGTCTCAACCAAATTTATCCACAGGGACTGAGCCATTGAGGGACATTGATGGTACATCAACTATTTCGTTTCGCAGCAAGCGTAAACGTGGTGATGAAGACGAAGTGCACTCAAAATTGGCAGATATCCAAAACCCAATGACGAAAATGATGTCATTATTAACTGCATCTATAAATGCACAAAATAAGAGTACAGCAAAGATTAGAGGCGACATCGCAGTTATCAAGGAGGAGGAAGAAGGAGGTATGGAAATAACTGACAAAAAAATGTCAAGTCTAGCAATTGAGCAGACAAAAATGAAAGTTGAAATTCAAAACCTCTCCGACTCCGTTCATACAACAGACGTGAAGGTTGCGTCACTGGAATCAGATGTGTATAAACTTCGAGCGTATACAACTGAATCGGTCCTGCGTAAGATAACACAGTATGACAATATTTTGGCTGAATTGAACGACCAAAACAACAGAAAAAATAACATTTGAACAGTCGGAATTCCAGAAATCAAATATAATGAAATAATATTGAGGAACGAAGAAGCCTAGATTAAGCTGAAGTAGTTAAAACTTAAAGCATGATTTCAGACGACATCCCAGAACCCGCTAAAATAATACGTGTTGGTAAATTCAAATCTGGTGAAAACTGCGCTATTTTAAGTCCGAAGAAACTGCTAAACATATAATCAGAAATAAAAATAAGCTAAAAAGCACAATGATAAAAATCTTTGCTGATCAGTCACCGTACCAACAAAGTTTAAAAAGCTGAAGGACGAACTAAATCGCAGGACAGAAGGAGGAGTAAGCAACCTTATAATAAAATACGTCAAGGGTGCGCCCCAAATCGTCGCCGCTTCCCTAAAAAACTACTAACTACTACTAGCTTCAATTATAGTAGCCAGAATGATATAATAACAACATATCAAGTCCTCAACAAATATGATGATCTCACATATAAGAAAAAATCCCTGATATTCCTTTGTGCAAATGCTCGTAGCATTGTAACACCTGGCAAATTTGATGAACTCTGTTGTATTGTTAAGTCTATAACACCAGTAATACAAATTATAATGCTAGTAGAGACATGGATTAAGTCAGATGATGAAGCCAAACGAGTTCAGATACCATTAATAACAATATAGGCGAGATACTGTGGGTGGGTGGGAGTTTCAATAATTCAAATTGTAAATAACTTAAAACACCATATTGTTGAAGAAATTAGGCAAGATGATATATATGGATTCATTTAACGAAATTCTCTTTGGATATTGGAACAGTTTATAAGCCAGGTCGAACAAATGTCAAAAGTTTTCTTGACACACTTTCCTATCAACTAAATCGGAGGTACAGGGTGGTAGTTCTCGGTGATTTTAATTTTAATTTACTAGAACCTGACATATCAGTGGAATGTTATAAGATACGCTACAAGATAATGGATACAAAATAATAAACAAAATCACACTTAAGTATTGCACCCGTGAAACATCGACGAAAAGATCCATATTAGACCACATCTCCACAAATGTAACAGAAAACCAGTTTAATTTGACTATTATCGAATCATCAATGTCGGACCATAAGCAATTTTTTTTTTTAATTAAATTTTTATTCAATTGAGATTCAATTATTTTTTGTGAAATTACTCCACTAGTTTGTTATAATTATTAATACAAAGATCGAACACTCAGAAAAAACACTCAGAAAAAATTCCTTCGATCCGGTCGGATGCGAACCGACGTCTTCTTGCATACCGTGCCAGACGCTATACCAACTAAGCCACGGAACGAACCAACGGACCTCACGAATTTTTCTATGTGCTTGCGTCGTGTCTTTGTACTTGGTTTTGCAATGACTTTTTAGTCGTAGCGCCATCTATGAGAAATCTTTGACAGATTTTTCACCCAGTTAGTACCTTTACAGCTACCAGTCCTGGCGAGGGATGTCGCTATTCACTGTATTAATTAAATTTTTATTGAATTGATATTCAATTATTTTTTGTGAAATTACTCCACTAGTTTGTTATAATTATTAATACAAATATCGAACACTCAGAAAAAATTCCTTCGATCCGGTCGGATACGAACCGACGTCTTCTTGCATACCGTGGCAGACGCTATACCAACTAAGCCACGGAACGAACCAACGGACCTCACGAATTTCTCTATGTGCTTGCGTCGTGTCTTTGTACTTGGTTTTTCAACGACTTTTTAGTCCGACCGGATCGAAGGAATTTTTTCTGAGTGTTCGATCTTTGTATTAATAATTATAACAATTTTTTTTAAATTAAGTAATATGAACCACCACCGAAGCATAAAGTTCAATATCAATCAGTAGACTATGTTAAACTGCAGACACTAGCACACGAAGATATGAATAGTACTATGAATTACGAGTATAATATATTTGAAGAAAAATTACGTAGGACTATCGAACTGTGTAAAACTACAAAACCCAAAGATATTGAATCCGCTAAAGCAAGATTGAATAAATGCAACGATACTTGAAAAAATTAATCGAAAAAACTCACTATATAAACTACGTAAAAGTATTCCAGATGATATCAAAGCTAAGAAAGATTTTATGAAAGAAATAGAACAGTAGCGGGCGAAATACAGAAAATGAAAAATGAATACTATTACAACCAATTTGTTTGTAAAAATATGCAAAAAAAAAAGTGGAGCCTAATAGATAATCTTACTCATAAGAGGATAAAAGAAGTATCAATACCAGCAATACTGGATATAGGTAATGCAGTTCTAACAAATGGAAATCAGATATGCCAATGCATTAATGACTTTTTTTCTACTGTTGGTGCAAAACTGGCACAAGCTATCCCGAGAGTGTGCCATAATGACAAGAAATCCAATCCAATCCAATACACTATCCGCAAATGCAGACTTAGTCACTAAATTGAAAAACAGCATTGATGAAAATAAAATCGGTCTCGGAATATTCATCGATCTCAAAAAAGCGTTTGACACTGTTAGCCACGACATTCTCTTGAACAAACTCAACGAAATAGGTTTTACTAGGAACGCACATAATATTTTTGAATCTTATTCGACAGGTAGCACACAAATAGTTAAGATTGGGGAATACCAAACCTCTTCAGCTCCTATCGTGTATGGTGTTCCCCAAGAATCAATTTTAGGACCCCTATTATTTTTAATTTACATAAATAGTATAAGTAAACTCGAACTTAAAGGAGAATTGTCGTTGTACGCTGACGATACTGGCCTATTTTACTTCGGTTACGATATGGTTTCAATTACACAATACGCCCAGAAAGATCTTGATCTTTTCAATGTGTGGTTTCAGTGCAATCTGTTAACACTTAATGTTGCCAAAACGCACTATGTAATTTTCTGTACTAGAAAACAAAATGACATCAAAGTTCGTGCCACTTACCATTAACATTAAAATAATAGAAAACTCTTATAATGATAAATACTTAGGCATCGTTCTTGATAAACACCTGACCTGGAAGCCGCACATTGTGAGGAATAAATCTAGATTGTCTTTAAATGGCGCTCTCCACGGCGTAGTCTGTTGCTTTCCGCGCAATGTACGGTGTAATATATATAACTCATTGGTGAAGCCACACATTGATTATTTGATCGAAATCTGGTGTTCAGCAACTAAAAGTAATCTTAATATACTACAAATATCGCAAAATAAACTTATTAAACGATTATTTAATTATGTTTATCTAACCCCTACTCTAAAAGTATATAAGGAAACAAAATTATTGGATGTTATTACAACTTATAAATATTACTCATGCTTGCTGATACGAATAATAATATCTAAAGAAATTTACGAAATTTTTACATTTTACTAAAGAGACATTTTGCGAAAGAAACATTCTGAGAAATTGACTTTTTGTGTGCGGTAGACATTCTGCGACTGAACTGCTTCTGCCCTAATGTACCTACACTAACCCACATAACAAAAACAATGTTAGCAGCTATACAGCGATTACGAGATCACAGGCAATTCCAGCCTAGATCCAGAGATCGTTGTCGTATGTTACCAAGAGTTGTCATCAACTTACGTAAGTAGATACATACGATTTACTTTTTATTTTATTTTTAAATGTAGCCAATCCTAAGCCTGGCTAATGTGGATTCTGTGTACAAGCTGTAAACTTAAACGTCTATTACGTGAAAACAAAAATACAATTTATCAATATCAAGAAATGTTCCAGTTAATACTTTGTTTTTATTTAGCTGCACTTAGTACTGTAAAAGACTATTTCGTATTAATAATTGATAAATAAATTTTTCACATCTCATGCTCTTAAAGTTCGTATTTATGCTGGGTGTAGGCTGCATAAAATAGGATTTTATGCTCTAGGGCATAAAATAAAAACGTCGTTTAAGACCGAGGCAATGACGCCTGCGCCAACAGCCACGCACACACTAGAACTAGGACTTTATAAAATAAAGGCATCTCAAGTTCATAATAAAATACAAAGTAATACACTGAATAAGCCAGGAAAAACCATCACATTAAATATGTCTAATTGTTGTAATTTAGCATTCAATTTTAATTAAATAATCGTTTATTTGTAATATTGCTGTTTCATTTCCTCGCAATCGAAGTGAAAAGCAGAGTGTATAATTCGTTCATAAAACCTATTTTACCCTCGACTTAATCCAAGAACGCCCACCAAAATATTTTTATGAATCGCGCCACACACAGTGGGCCCAAATTGATAATTTTTACATTACATTTTCCTACATTTTGAGATAAAAAATAAAATATTTATTTCTCCAAACGAAAAAAAAAACTAAAATTTTTTTTCTCTGAAATAATCAGCTTTTCAAGAAATTACATAAGAATAAAAATTATCAGGAATGTTAGTATTTATCATAGGAAAAAAATCAGCTCGATACTCCACAAGTTATTCGTATGTCCAAGAATTATCAATTTGGGCCCACTGTGCGCCGGGAGAACACCTCGCGGCATTACAATATTATTACTTCCTATCAAATACAGATCTAAAAAGTGTCAGAGAGTATTGATCATTGATAAATCTATTATGTTTTGTGAAAAGTTGTGGAACAAAAGTTGTCGTTTATGTTGTTAGTAATATAGTTTTGCTAACTCGTCTACATAATCCATGATAAAAATGATAGAAAATTACCTGGTGGATCTTGAATAGAGAAATGCGCCAAATAAACTATGATTTTCATAAAAACTACCCGTACCTCCGCGGAGGGACATGATAAGAGATAATCGCACAACCTGAAATCAGACAAGGATATTTTAATGCAAGCTTCTAATATTTAATTTTAAACAAAAAAGGGGGAATACGAATATACCTATGAGGATGCTTGAAGAGATCCGTTGCGAACCAAGCCCTGACGCTTTGAGAACAACGTAGATGTTGGCACAGAATATCATGCCTAAAAAATAAGTACAAAAATTAATAACAAAGTACTGTAAATGCATGAAAAAAATTGATGAATATTATAACAACATTAGTCAGCAGCAGAAAGTCATACCAGTCAGCAGCTGGCCCGCGTAGGGTCTTCTTCGTGTGAAAACCGACTTGAAATAAGAATTTCGTTGCTAATTGCACAGCCAACATTGACATTTCTTCGTTTTCAAGACCCTGTAAAACATCACCAATGGAAAGATTCAATAAAAGTTATTAAATGAAATTGAAAACTTACTTGCAAGACGGGTGTAAAACTTACCCAACAAGCATTCTGCGCACCCGGTAATACTTGCAGTCGCATACAACACAGCTTCTTCATAAAGTTGAAATGCTCCAAACTGAACTGGTCTTGGTTGTGTGAAAACGCGATGTTCCCGCGACGCACTGATAGCCAGATCGGCCTTGGTATGGCACTTTCCCTGTAATCAATCATGAATATTACTTTATCGATGAAGTGATCATTTTAATGGGCACTCCAAATGATAGAAATAAGTTCTTTTGCATAAATTAATCTCGCCCTCCCTTAGAACACTTTAAACTAAGAACGCTTACTTGAGTGTAATATTCTTCATCTGTTGTTCGAGACTGGTCTCAATGGTGTCCTTCCTCGTGTAAAAAAGCATGTAAGCATTCCACCAACGCTTTTGCCGTTTGAAAGACACCCGCTTTAACATCGGATCGAATACCTGGAACATTGTTAGAATTACCACGTCACGCGTAAGGTGGTCGTGCCAGAATGTGTTCGGTAATTGAAAACGGAAAAAATACAAATAACACTTCAAAAAATAAAGACGAAACAAACTATACTACATGTACACTCTAGTTAAATTCAACGTAGAATAAATGTCAATAAATAAAAACAAACGATTTTAAGGATTTTCACCTCAAGACTGTTCTATGGTAACCATAATTCAAAAAGTTTTCCCGAAATTTGATTACGCTATTGATAATACAAATCTTGAACTCATGTTAGTGATGAATTTTGTTCAATAGAAGTTTCAAATCACTAGCAAGTATTTTGAACCAACATGAAAATTACCAGTAATTCATTATTTATACAACTGTGTCATCCCTAGTGATTAATAGCAACGTTTTGTTATTAAACATTCCATATCGAATTTGGCTTGAGTACTGACATACAGATTTACTTTTTAAAGGTTTGTATTTGAATTAGTTAGGTTTGCTCAAGAAATTACAATAATTGTACAAATAACACACAGATTAAAACTAACAAAATTAAAAAAAAAAAAATGACTCAATTAGCGAACTGGAATTTTTTAAATGGCATAAATTAGTCTCACCTCGCCCATATATTCGCCACCGAAACACTGCGCCTTCATCTCTTCATCGTCATGCATGGCGCATTCTGATACGTCACCATCATCAAGTTTCACCCATCGCCCCATGTCGCTACCGTTGTCCCTATAATAATTAAAATACACAAAAATGGTATGTATATTATAATTCTTAATTATATTAAGTTGTAAGCTAGGTAAAGAATCCTGCTTACTCATAAATGTGGTGCACTGTAATTATACACAGAGATTTGGGCTTACCTGAGTAGTACATATGAGTAATAATGACCACCCGAAGCCTGTCCAGAATGGACTACAATGCCGCTTAGGTGATAGTGCGTTTCAGGCGTACGTTCATCACCGCCATCCCATAACGTTGCGTCTCCTTCCGCCTTTGCTAATCCCCAAGCTGAATAATAACGTATATTTTAAAAGTTATATCAGGGCACAATCAAACCTTCGAACAGATCCTTATTGGAGTATGATTTAGCATTATCTATGTTTACATAGGGTACTTGCGTCTTTTTAGAAAATATTTATAAGTAATAAAATGAGTAGCGCTTTACCTGTATAAGGTTCAACGTCCAATTCCCGTGGGAACTCGAAATAATCGTTGAATTTAATCGCACATACTTTTTCGAAGTCATACTCGAACCTCTTCAGCTGAATGACAAGTACCGGCGGGAGTTTGTTCAGGCACAATCGCTTCACTGTTACGACCTGCATAAACAAAAAATCCTAATTCTATACCACCAACCCTAGGTTAATCAGCTTGAATATCTAAGAATTTTGCATTCTGATAAGATTGTCTACCATTGTACGATCCTCCTCGACTATTAGCTATTAGGCTTAAAATAGCTATTTCAATGATAAAAAATAGAAATGTTGAGCTAACTGCCTAAACAATTCAAATGGCCTATGAAATTCAGATTTCTCAAGAGCTTTTTCAGCATAATGGGAATACTTAATTACAAAGTAACACATACCTTTTTATTACATTTATCACAATGGTAAGCATCGGCGCCTTCCAAAAGCTCTCCCCTTACGTATGCCTCTAACGACTCCTGAAGACGCGACATGTTTCTTATATCCAGAGACACCACACTGAACGGTTCTTCTTTGCAATACCTACAACCAAATGTTGACATGTTAATATTAATTTTTTATTGAATTGATATTCAATTATTTTTTATGTGAAATTACTCCACTAGTTTGTTATAATTATTAATAGAAAGATCGAACACTTAGAAAAAAATCCTTCGATCCGGCTGGATTCGAACTGACGTTTTCTAGCAAACCGTGCCAGACGCTATGCCAAGTAAGCCACGGAACGAACCAGCAAACCTCACGAATTTTTCTATGTGCTTGTTGTCGCATCTTTGTATTTGGTTTTTCAACGACCTTTTAGCCGTAGCGTCATCTATGAGAAATCTATGAAAGTATTTCGTCACCCAGTTAGATATTGTTATTTTATATTATTATTATTTTATTATTGTTATTGTTAATATTAATTTGCTTTCATCAATATCATTTCCATTATGTAGAATATGAATTGTTTCACATCATTAATAATATGATTACACAAACCTTTGTGACGAAATACATAGAGTACAGCCGCGAACTAAAATATAATTCTCCGAGCTTTAGCCAGTAGCCAGATCGAAGGAATTTTTCTGTGTTCGATCTTTGTACCAATGATAAAAACAAACTAGTGGAGTATTTTCACATCGTCAAACAACACACAAACATCACGGTAGTAAAACATCATGATACTCGATAAGTAAATGTAGTTACTATTTTTTTTTGGAAATACAGTACCTATGTGGACAGCCTTTGCAAATTTTCTGATCAGAGTAAGTGCCTCCCATTGTCTTGGCCATCAATTGTTCTTGGCCCAATGATTTCAGAGCTTCATCCAATGATTCCACAAGTGACATGAAAAACTCTACCGCGTCTTGTTGTTCACGCAAGTTTACAGGCTCGCCTTGAAGTCTGTAAAATAAAACCTGATTGGAGAGACCTATTCTTACAATTTAACACAAAACAATATGATTCTAGTTACCTGAAATGCGCCCACAACCCTCTAGGTACGTAATACTGAAGTTTACTATAATGTAAATGCGCAAAAATCGCTTGCACTTGCTTTAAGATCGTAATGTTGTAGTCACTATTACTCTGGAATAGAAGAACATTTTTTTTTATTTGAAAAATTAACAACTACAACAAATTGTTGTTTATTGTTTACAAATTTACACTCAATTTACCTCAACATTATTTTCCACTATCGTATGATGTTGAATTTCCCCCGAGAAGTCTTCATTAGGATCAGTCGCGGCGCCTGTAATTTAATATAAAAAAATATTAAATACGATACAAACACACTTAGTAAAATTTTAACAACTGCATTCTTCTTAGATATTCTACAAAAGATTTTTTTTATTTATACTGACTTAGCATCAAAAACTCGTTGTTTACCTTGTACAGTGAGCAGGGCGTCTCTAACAGCGCGCACGCAGTATAATTGTTGCAGCACGGAGTTCATGTAGCAGGTGGCACCAGCGTTCTTCAGTCCCACCAGCCCCGACGGAGGCCGCGGACCCACGCACGGCATGTACTCCCATTCTGATAGCGGCATACTTTTGTCTGTGGTCAAATTGCTTATCAAGATTTTTGGTACGGCACAATTAGCTTGACAAGTTAGTGATAACTTTTCATATCATAGCTATAAGTTACATTGAGTTTATAAGTTAGCACCAACTTGCCAAGCTCGCAAACAATTTCGAAAGATTTTAAAATAATTGAATTACAAATGTAATAACCCATTTATAAGTCCCACTGCTAGGCACTGGTCTACTCTCAGGCCAAGGGTTAGGCCGTAGTCTGCCATGCTGGCTTAATGCGGTTTGGGAACTTCACACGTTTTGTTCGGGTTTAATCAGGCTATATCCATCGAAAAGCTCATGGTAAATTTCAAATTAAATTTTGCACATAAATTCCGAGAAACTCAAGAGGTGCGCGTCCGGATTCAAAGACTGCTCGATAGGCGGCAGGTCAAACCATTAAGCTACCACGGCTGCATATAATAATGTAATATAATAATATAAGTATATTTTATATTTATGTATGACATTTTAAATTTATTTTATCTGTAATCGTAACAGTTGTACATGAACCAAACTATGAAGTATTAAATAAAACATATATACATTATATTTGAAAGAAAATAACTTCCGTATTTGATACTGTAACCTGAAAATTTCAACAACTAACCTGAATAGAACATTGCGTCAAGTAAATGCGCCAGCGCTGCCATATTAGGCACACAGGCGTGGACTAACGACAAGAGAAGCTCAGTGGCAGCTGTGGCAGCTCCGGGCGATCGACACAGAGGTTCAGGAGGTTCCTCAGCGTCGCCTGTTTCGCCTTCTCCGTCACCCATTCGACACCACGCCCAAGAATACGGCCATAAGAACTCGGTTAAAACCTCCTACAAATAAAAGGTTTATTATATAGAAAACTAGGAATACTGAAATTGATGTGGGCGCATTTCTCATGGGCTATAGTTGGTCCAACCACTTACCTTGATTAATCCAGAGTCCCTATGGTCTGGATGCGCGCCGTACTGGTACTTAATTTGTGCAGGTACGTGAGCCATTAGTTCTTTGATAAGGTTGAGATGTCCCTCTAATAAGACATCGTCTACAGTCTCAGGGTTTGCACGAACGGCTCGTAACCATGACACCTGTTCAACGGTTAGTTATGTAAACACCAGTGATACAAAAAAATCGTTCATATTACGCTGTGGTATTTTGTTTTCGTTATGAAAACTCATATAAATTTCAATTTACTTTTGTTGAACTCACCAAAGGGACGGTAAAAATAGAAACTTCATTGGATGCTTTTGGTAATTTTTGGCAAATACAAAACACTAACCTCTTCAGCCAGATCTTCCAATGTTCGGGCAGTCGGCCCAGCTACAGTGACAAGTCTGCACAACAGCTGCAAGAACTGCTGCGCATTTCTTGCGTGCCGCTGCAATCTCACCCCTCCTGCTGCACCACGCTCCCCTGCCGTACCCGCACCTCCAAGCGCGACTAGGGCTGCACGTGCACCATCGCCGCCACCCCATGCGCACATTGCTAACAGTTGTTCAGCGCACGATACTCGTACCTGGTAAAGTCATGATTTTTAAAAATTTTAGGCATATTGTAGAAAACCTAACCATATCGCTCTTAAATTCTCATGTTATTACAGTTATGAATGATCATAATATCAAAATAAAAAGATCAAAATATATAGAATAAAATTGAAATGAAAGTCATCACCCACTTTCTAAAAATTAACTAATATACTATACCTGAGCATTGGGGCAGTCGATCATTAAGTAAAGTGCAGTGTCTTGCCACCATGACTCGAGAAGAAGCGATTCCAAGTGACCGCCGCCAAGTGCCATGCATATCGTCACCACCTCCATGCATTCTCGAACCACTGTGAATAATGAAATTATTTACATGACGACGGTACAAAAGTCATATCCTTACCTTACTTTCCCAAACTCATATCTTATAAAGAGTGATTATTCAGGAGATGGCAAAACTTTCTATTTATTTTAAATTTCTTATCAAGGGTGGCCATTTGGATACATTACTTTAAGAATAGATAAAAAGCAGTGTGTGAATATGAAGAAAATGTGATGTGAAATCAGCCTGCAAAATTTGTATGTACAATCAATATTTTTGCACTTCAGTAACTTTGTGCTTTAAGATAAGAGTTTGAGAAAGTAAGGCGATTTTCAGATTAATTTACTTAATTTCGGTGGTAATTTTTATTATTTAAGTATTCGAGTATATTATTGTGAAATATTAAAAATATTTCACGTTATTACACTCGAATGTTTAATAATACTTCATGATAGTATTATAAAATATTTTAATAATAAAAATTGCCACCGAAATTAGGTAGAGAAAACTACCCTGAAAATTACTCATAATATGGATAAAAACAATAACGATATATACATAACTGGTCACAACTTGGAAAAAATAGTACATTATTTATTACAAAGATCGGGAGGAAAGGATTGCCGAACGAGTATGAGTTACAAGTTATATTATCGAGTCAGGCAATCCCTGTTATCGCCGAGGTATATAGGGCATTTTTTTTTAAGTAATTGCATTACTTAAAAAAAAAATGCCCTATATTTCCGAGCATGTTTGAGATATAATTTCATCCAATTGTTGTTGACCAGTGAACACAATGCATGTTCCCACTTCCATGTAACATTTTTTAGATGACTTACATGTGACATCGTCAGAATGAACCATGCCACTCATCTCAATGGGCTGAGCAACAGAATACGCGAGCGTGTACAAGGCACGCACTGTCGCCGTAGTGGGCACCCGCCACCATACTAACGAAGATACTGATTCACTGTCATCCCCGTTTGTTATCACCTGCAATGAATAAAAGTCGGGCGTATTGCATGTTCACCTTTCAGCAAAACGTTAAGGTTTCTTCACTGGCCTAAAATAAAAGCTACATAAAAATCACTACAGTTAGAAAACAAGAGGCTGTCTTTTAACATACCTGTTCTCCAAGAGCGTTAGCTAACTTCTCAGCTATAGCCTTGACTATCTGCTCACAGGCATGATTGGGTAAAGATTGCAACTGCAACGCTTCTCTCAATATTGTTACATCCATCCTATAACAGAGAATGTACATTAATAGAAAAATAAGACTCCAACTCATTAAATCTAGAAATTTTTCCCCTCGATAAGAGAAAAGCAAAGTAAAATATCGTACAGTGCTTCTATTTTCTCAATGTCATTCGGCAAACTGCGTGTTTCGGCTGTCGCCGGGTTTTATACAGTTGCCATTTGCCTTTGGTACAGTGTGGACGCTTTCAATTGACTTGGAAGTACATAAGAGTTGCTATAACATTTTTTAATCAGATGAAGAAATGTGCTTAGATACGGACTGAATTGAAATGATTAATAACCGAAAAATATTCATTTTTAGTTATATAAAAGAAGCAACCTTTATATTTTTGTGAACTTGCTTATTGACATGGAGTAATAAATGTTATTAAAAATAGATAAATAGTTTTACAGCTCTATATTGTTCACACAACGTTGTATGTCGTACTAAATTCAAATTATTATAGATTTTAAATATAATAATTAAGGGCATGCAAATTAATACTCGTGTGCATTGTGAAATCTGATGATTGCCAAGAGACATTGAGAAAATAAATCCACTGTACCTATATTGATACTAAAGTCCGAGCTTTTAGAACGGTTACAGGAACAGGAACGGTTACTTTTAATAGCGATATAAACAAACGCGCGATTGCATCGCGACAAATGCGGTTTGTAGGCGGTTATATCGATGCTAACACGCGATTGCATAGCTACTGCGTGGCGACTGCATCGCTGCTGATGCGCTGCTAAAGTCGCCGTGTGTAACCACTCTCATGCCTCGGCCACGAAGAAAACGCCACACTCGAAGTGTTATTCGCTGAGAGCGTCAATTTTAAAGCGTCAAAACTCGGCCACGAAAATATCGCCGCGTTTGAAGCGTAAGCGTTAATTAAAGCATCAAAATACCAGCGTTGCCAATTTGTGGGGAATTCCCCAAATTGCGGGGAATTTCAACGAATTTCAACTCTTCTTATTTTGTGGGGATTGGCGCGATGTAGGGATTTTAACATCATTTTGTTTTATCTATCCTGGACAGCCCGGAAAAAGACATGTTTTACGACAGTCCAGATCTTATGTTGTGGATTGTGATCTCATCCTCAACGCAGGCCGATCTTGTACTGTCGTTATAAACTCTTCTATATTCATATTTCGATATAGCGATGAGCAATAATAACAAAATAATTTGTTTTAGACGCTGACGCGCGACCGCTTCTGTCGGGGCGCGTGAAGCGATTGTTTCGTGCACACTATGGAACTTTCTCAAACAATTGTTCTGGCCGCCCGCAAAAAAATTAATTCGCTCGTAGCGAATTCGCTGCAAGTTACAGCGCTACTTTGTGGCCTTTTACAAATAAAATCATATATTTGTTTATGACGCTCGACGCTGACGCTTGTAGCGTCAAGCGAATTCGATGGGAGCGTCGCGACTGGTGGCCCTCGGGTAAGACTTCAACTGCTCATATAAAATGAAATGGTACTGTACTTGTATTCTTTGTCTAGGGTGATTTCCGTGCCGTCAGGAGCGAGTATTTCAAAAAGATGCGCCAAAGTATAAAGCGTCAGTTTTGCTAGCCTGACAAGTGCTAAAAATCCGACCCTGAAATAAAGAAAACTTGTCAATCAGAGTACGTGAAATTTCTAAAACTAAATGTGGATGTGTAATCTTTGCGAGTTACGAATCAGTATGACATAAATCTTATCCAAAGTTTACCGTCTCGTATGTGGTACAGCACCCTGCAGAAAATCTTTGTCAGACAAGCATTCGACCAACAGAGGTGCTTTCTTAACGCAGGATATTTGAAAATTGAGACTTCGCTCTAATCTCGTGTCTGAAGATGGCATTATCATGCTGTACAGCACCTAAAATAAAAGATTATTCTGTGATCTCCGTAATTATGGTTTTATATAATTATGCGTAATGTTAATTTTATTACCTCTACATTGTAAGCTACTGTGGGTGGAGCAGGCCCAAACAGCATGAGCCTTAGTTTTGTATCGTCCCGACATAATAACGCTTCTGTAAGTTTCTCCACCTAAAATAAGAAAATAATGTGATACTCATTGTTGAAAACTACATAACAAAATCCTGCAAAAAAGATTTGTGCCTCTCCATTGAAGGAACAAAGGAAACGATGTTTTGACACATATTCTAAATAGTTTGGATGATTTTTTGTAATTAAATTTTGTAATAAATTACATATTTGTGAACTTACTGTCTGTTTGTGAGCTGGACAGATCTGAGACAATAAATGAGCAGCCTCAGTCAAAGGGCCGTGTCCTTTTGTGATACCGATGTGCTCCAGGTCTAAAATGAAGGGTAGGTACCACGAACCCTGGGCAAATAGCTGAAAGAATAAATCTCTTGAGCAAATATATAAATTTTGACTTTGAACCAAGACTGTACTACTTTTATTCTTTTACTGAGCAACATTTATTGATTTCGTTATAAATATTATTTAAATATAAAGATAAAAGTGTGGTAACCTTCCAACAAATTCAAAACGTCACAAGCAATTCTACAGAAGCCAATGGGGAGTTACTTACGACTCCAGGTAGAGCATGTTCCGGAGTGGGTGGTAAAGGTGGTGACGTTGTGCTGGAATCGCTGCTCGATTCGTTCGATGAGCCGCAACCGCCACTGCCGCACACTTGCCCGTCGTACACCTATTTAGACACCGACTTCTTTAGACGCAAGTTATAGGACAATGCAATTCACGGGTATCAAAACTCGCCAACAGCGTTTATAAGAAAAAAAAGAATGTCTTCTTGCACACGCGTTTTGACTAGTTAATAGAGATTAGATTATACACCTAAAGAGTACTTGATTAAGTGTGTTACTGCTTCAATCAACTGATATGAACATACTGAACATTTATATGACGTGGGTTTTTCGGCAGGTCAACTAACATCCGAGATATTTATGATCAAAATTCGTGGAGATGCTCCGTCTCTTTTTACCAAAACTATCATTTATAAGTAGTTTATATAAATAGTGTCATTAAGGTGTGTGCGGTTTGTGACCGCTATTACTGTTTAGTTTCTTTATCTTGATTTCTGAATGCATGTAAACATTTTACTTTTCAATTGAATTTCAATTCTGTTTTCACATTCCGCCTCCTACTTATAATTCTTTTAATGCTAATGAAAATTATTGAAGTATCGATGTTGTACACTATTAATATTGACAACACGTTCCACGCACCTTGGCAACTATGACAGTTTTATCCCTCAGACCAATCTGCGATAATATCTTCCGATCATGACTCGAGTCCAACAGATCGCCGTTCACGTATAGCTCTAATTTATTTACAAACATTTCTAACTTTATATTGTTATCTGAAGCTAATTTTAATCTGTAATAAAAAATATATACATCTTTAGTTCTTAATGTCATAGAAAAAATAGATATCAGGAAAGTCTATAAACGTTCCGGCTTACTTTCTTTGGATGGTCGCTCGCAACGAAGCCAGGGTTTCATTTGAGTGCGAAAAGATTTCAATATCTTCGATTTGTCTTTGGCCAGTTTGAAAATTAAATCTGACTATTATTGTACACTGACGTCCGCGCCCGGACCTGTAGATCGGCAGAATTTGTCGTTCTGATGAGAATCTCCTATCACATTCATTTACGTATTCCTGTATGGCACGAATCACTCTCGTCATCCTTGTACAACATTCCATGACATCTGAAAGAAATTATATAGTCACAACTTTACGAATCGATTTAAGAAAATACCGTCTTCCAATCCCCAAAAATTAATCTTTCATTAAAAAATTGTGATGGCATCGTCTTCCTGACCTTGCTGTAATTCCATATCTTTCTGGAACCGCTGCGTGCGCGCGCAGCACTGGGTGAGAAAGTTCTCGTGGTGTTGCGCGGGCGATAGGTGCGGCCCGACACAGGTGCACACTTCACGTAACAGCTCGATGCCGCGAGCTGAGATGTCGTCTTCGCATTCCGTTATTACCTATAGAAAAAACAAGATAAAATAAACATAATAAAAGAACACTTGTGATTGTAATAATTGTTAATAACAACAACTCAATTTACAAGGGCACAAATAGTCATTTGAAGGATACTTACTCTCCATAAATAATCTAATCCTATGAGATCAGCGTCATTAAGTAAATAACTACGTCGTTTTACTTTTAGTTTGCCTTCTTTGGAATTTACAGCTTTGAAAAACCTGCAACAAGTAACTTTTTCATAAGCCCATCTCAAGATAAAATGAAATAGTATTGTAATGTTATCTAAAGCTATACCTTACCTTTCAAAACATTTAATACCAGCGTGAGTTAATAGGTTCGGAGGGAGTGTCATAATGTTACGTCGAAAAAAATGCAGATTAATATTTGGATCGAGGTCTGGTTCCTCGCCCATAAGTTTGCTGAACCATTTGAAACAGGCTTCGCGGTCAAGCAAGTGCGCTGGACGCTCAGCTAAGCACACCCATATTTGTTTCGCCTGCAAGCAAGACTTGATCATTCGAAAATGATGAAAAAATAATCAATTTCACCTCATAATGTGGAAGTAAATAAAAATACTCTAGAGAAAGATTTGAGAGAAAGAAGAAACTACATTTATTTCACTACCACACACTCTGTTAATACCATACATTCTGTTAATCCAATGTCTGGCACATAATAAAATACACAACCTGGGTAAAGGGTACACAAACACACCAAGTGCCTGGTCTCAAACTAGAGAATTCCCTATACAATGAGTACCAGAGCAACGAAACACGCTCTGGGGCACTTCCTGGAACATCCTGACTAGAAACCCATTTGGAAAAGTTCATTTCTTAAACTGGTCCCACCGGGAATCGAACCCGGGACCTCCTCATCTAGTGTGCACAGTGCAAAACGTTGGGCCACCGAAGTATCATTAAGCTCGCTTGTTACGTTTTTAACCGACTTCAACAAAAGGAGAAGGTTCTCAATTCGACTATGTTTTTTTGTATGTATGTTACGCGATTTTGATAATTCTTTTTTTGTTGGAAAGAGGGTACCTCCGTGGTGGTCCCATTTAATTTTGAAGAAAATATTCCTCCTCTAAGGGTGGCTGTTTACGCATGAAGATTTATTTTTATAAGTAGCGCCTACATTTTGTAAGGAGCAATTATATTAATGGTTGATTTTACTACGCCCCAATTGAAGGCGCTCTCAATATACTAAGCAGCGAGCACCGATTTTTATTATCTCCTGTGTTAAGTCCCATATAGTGGCGAACTAAAGGATGAATCTGGTTTTGCCCACTTTCCGGTAACCGATTTCAATAAAACTTGGCAAATAGATGTAATTCCACGAACTTTCTAGGTCGGTTTTTTAGTACCCTGATTAATGTTATAAAAATTTCTTATCACTATATAAACTGTTCAAATAGGTTTTATTTACCTGTTCTGCACAGAGCCAAAGCTGCCCATCCTTAAGTAAGAATCGGAGGAAACTCAACCGTTCATGCACCTGTGCTGCGTGGGGATATCTGCCATCTGGTAACCAGTTATCCCAATCTATCTCACCTTCAGCTGCATCATACATCAATTAATTATAATTGCTATTAAGGCTGTCTATATGTTAAGGTTAACAATGTCGACAAATAAACAAAGTGAGGTTATCGTTTTTAATCGACTTAAAAAAAGGAGGAGGTTCTTAATTCGACTGTATTTTTTGTGTATGTTACGCAATTACTTTTACAATTACGCATTTGTGAACCGAATTTGATGATTTTTTTTATTGCTGGAAAGAGGGTACCTCAGTATTGGTCTCATATAACTATGAAGAAAATATTTCACCTCTATGGGTGGCAAACTAGGGGATGAATCCTGTTTCGCGCCCTTTCCAGTAGCCGATTTCAATAAAACTTAAAGATGTAATTCCACGAATTTTTGAGGACGGTTTTTTTTATAAACAATATTTGTATTATTTGGATATAATTATTTGAAATGCAAAAAATAAAGGGTCAATGTTATATTTTTCCTTTTATACATACCTGCAAGTTTATTCCTTACGCCGTCCATATAATAAGTAAGAGAATCAGTGACTAGTATGACCAGAGAATGTTGCGTTTGCAATCTATCTATGAGTTCTTGTCGCGTGACGTGTGGTCTCACCCCGGTACCTCCACCGGCCTCATACAGACAACAAATATCACGCATCACTTTGAGTGCTGGTAGCACCCATTTTTCGTTTGTTTTTAGTTCCTCCACACATCTGTAAACAATGTCATTTTTAAACTACTGAAAATTTATATACAAGAATATCCTTTGTTGCCCGTGGAACTACCAGTTGAACTACTAGTACCGGAACTACTAGTAGTTACACAGGCAATAATAATCTCCCGTGGAACTACCGACAGGCCTAGTAGTATCACGGATAGGTAATTGTACATACAAAAAAAACATACAGTCGAATTGAGAACCTCCTAATTTTTTTTGAAGTTGGTTAAAAATGCATTTTAACTAGCAAATCAACCTTTATTCTTATTCAACCTTAGAATATCGTTTCACTAGGGTAAGCGATTATTTTAAGGGGAACTGTATACGTTTTTACAATAAGATTCCGGAGCATAATTATATTCAGATTACCATTTCCTAAGTTTAAAACTTACATTAAAAGTATTTGAATTGAAAAGTCATATTACAAAATTGAAGACTACGTGTTAGATAAAGATTTAAAGTGTATTCCAAAGCATTTAAGTTTATTTGAAAAGAGCAATCCCTAGAGTCTCTTGCTCGTTCTCCTCAGGGAGGTGTACTGAACGAGCAGTAGCTTAAAAAATGTCGTTTTTCATGTTTCATGTTTGTTGGAAAGAGGGTACCTCAGAAGTGGTCCCATTGAAATTTGAAGAAAATATTCGACCTCTAAGGGTGGTAAACTAGGGGATGAATGACTTTTCAGGGGGTCTACCATAACTTTCCAAAAACAATCTTATTTCAATGTAAGCTTAAAGTAAGCTTATTATAATATTACTCATGTTCATACCATGACAGACTTTTCAACCAAGTAATGTATTATTGCTAAAGTGATTGAAAGAACGAATGATTTCCCAATATTGTCTATTCCTTACTAAAAATAGGAAAGAGATAACGCTATGTGAACTATACAATGCCATCTCTTTCTTTTTTGATGTTCCGAATCGTCTCATCGTCCGTAAATAAATAAATCGTAAATCGTCTTATCGTAGTATAAGTTTAAGTACTTAATGTTATTTAGATTCAGAGAAGTTTGACTTTTAAAAAAAGAAAAGTATGTAATAATAAAATCTATTAAAATTACGCTGTTTTCAATAATTATTTCGCATTGTCATGAAAAAATAAATAAATAAAACAAGCTGAGCCTTGATAGCCACGTTGTGAATTCGGAACTATAGTCTAGTGTCAACTGTTAGTTTCGCCAAGGAGCATATAGATGGCGCTGTCATAATTTTACGAAATAAACATCGCGTATTTTTATTCAACGAGAAATTATTTCCTATGTCCTATTAAATAAAAAATAAACAAAATATTGAAGAAATATATGTAAATAAATAAGTTCAACTTAACTTTTAATCGTTACAAATCAATATTAAGACAATAAAACTGAAAATAATATTGATTCCATTGCATCCGTGTAATGGAATGGTATTTTAGATTGCTGAATTTGACATAAGAGCAATATTACTTTAAAGTTAAAGTCGCGTCATAGTGCGAATTGAGTGAACGAATAGTCACAAATCTGCCAATAAAACATCTTAGTTTTAACATTACAATAAGCTTACTTTAAGCGCGTTATGATACGAAAAGTAAGTTTAAAGTAATATTGTTATAGCAGGTTGTGGTAGGCTCCCAGGTCGGTTTTTTTTCGTACTCTGTACTAAGGTTAGGTTATTATTGTATTGTTTGGCTTGAGGTTCGTTTGTTTTATGAAATTAATAAAACGCTTCTTGTCTTGATAGTAGTAATACGGGAAAGTGTTATTGCCCGTATCAGTAGTGGTAGTACCACGGACAAAAACAATTACCTACCCGTGATACTACTAGGCCTGTCGGTAGATACACGGGAGATTAACTACTAGTAGCCCGTGTAACTACTAGTAGTTCTGGTAGTTCCACGGGAGATTATTTATGCCCGTGGAACTACTGGTACTTAGGTAGTTCCATGGCCAACAAAGGAATGATATGCCTACTGTGGACTAACACCAGCCACGTAATAGGGAGTCACCAAATTTATTATCGAGGAATCGTCTTGACGCGATCGTCTGTGACCACACTTGTCGCATTAAGCCGATTCGTCGTTGACGCGGCCGTTCGCGCGCCGTCGCTTTCGTTGTTTCCAAATCAGGATCAGTCGTCGTCGGCAGGCGTAAGCACGCAATCGGAAATTCGCAGGTAGCAGATTCGTTGCCGGCCTGAGCCGAGACGCGTTCGTACGTACCGATGCGAAACACACAACTTCTTTTTCGCTCTTACGTTCAAGGACATAAAGTTGTTTCTGACCGGCTTAATGCGATTCTGCGTTAATAAGTGTGGTGACTCTCTTGTTGATTTACACAATTAACTTGCAAAGTGATTCTTGCATTATCGTTGAGCAGAAGCATTTAATAAAATCTGAGGAGCTTACTTGTCCAACCAAAGGGTTTTCTGTGCATCGCGATCTTGACTACAGCTGTAGTCCAAGATTTTGATTAGGTTAGCCAACGCTACATCTATTATCTCTGTACAAACTTCTTCCGAATGAGCTAAGTTCCAAAATAGTAACAATACCTAGAAAATAACATGACCTTCATTAAAGGCTCCAGGAAAAAAAGTTAATTTTTTTATTTTATGTACTAAGTACGTACTTTGTTCGCCATAACTCCGTCTTTATCATCCTCTGCAAGTCTTCGAATAACTTCTAGTAATTTATCGCTTTGCTTCTTGCTAGATGTTGCCCAACTTGCCTGCAAGTAAAATCCATTTAGAAATCTTAATCTGTTACAATGTTAATTGACACGTATGACGGAGAGAGATCTTCATAGTAGGCGTTGAAATGAGACTCCAGTGACTGTTGTAAATTATATTACATCTTTCCACTTTCGTGAAAGATGTTTTTCGCAACGGCGGCCGCCCATTAGCGTTCCGTTTAATACCGTTTTTAAAAATTTATTATTTCGGTAAAAAAACATACATACTTAATGAAACAAAGCTTTCTTTGGTAATGTCACGATTTGCTAACATATACTTATTTATTTATTGAATTATGTTTTACTATCATGATTTCTATGAAAATACTCCACTAGTTTTTTGTTATCATTGATATAAAGATCGAACGCGAACAAAAATTCCTTTGATCTGACTGAACTTGAACCAGTGTCTGTCAAAGATCTGAGGGGACTGCCACTGCGCCCATCAGCCTGAGACATAAGTTGACAAATTCCATGTGCCTGTAATTTCACCAGCAATGTCGTGCAACGCTCTTAACCAACTGAGCTACAGACCGAATTAGCAGACCTTACGAATTTCTTTGTGTTTATTACAGATCTTTATATTGAGTTTCTATTTTTTCGTTGTCAGCGCACTCGTGAGAACTTATGTTTCATACACTTCTGCAATATTTCGTAAACAGATTACCGTTAGTACATTGTTAAAACAATATTTACAATCATATAATATTGCCAATAAGTAATCTTGTAATATCAATGATATGTTAATTCCAGGAGCCTTTGGGTATGCTGATGACAGCACAGTTGCGGACAGGTTGACCAATACAAGGGTCAGTGGAGAAGACATCCAGTCTTGTCGAGAGTCCAGAGTGGTTAGTCGTTTGAATTTAACACTTAAGGCAGTATCCGATTGGGGCGATGCCAATCTTGTCAAATTTAGTCCGGTCGTGAACGGACTACTGCTGCCACTTATGGGATTACTCTGCTAAATACTAACTGCCCATAATCCAAGGAGATTCAATCGACGAGCATGGCAAGAAGCTTATAGGTGACTCGGAATTGGTAGAGGCGAAGCTGCAGAGCCTTGAACAACGCCGTAAAATTGCCTGCTTATCTTGGGCCTTTTCAAGGCGAGTGTGAATAGGTATTATTTAGGTGTGCATGCATCGTCGACCTCATTATCACTTTCCATCTGGTGAAATGGAGGTATTTGAACTCCATCTCACAGCGTATTTATTTAAAAAAAAAAAGGAATATATGAGTATTTTATCAACAGATTTATCTTACCTGAAAACAATCAAAAAGATGGTCCAATTGATCAGGTGTGAAGTCCCAAGCTAGTTTGGCCAACAAATCATGCAAGTTTTTAACAATGGCTTCATGTTTTCCATGCTGGGCTTTCCATATGGCATCCAGGTCGTCTCTGGTTAGTGAGTTTTCTTTGATCATGAACCTGAGCATTTTCTCTAACCGGTCTACATATTGAGGCTGGTGGAGGGAGTCACGAAGTACTATATCTACTACTTTGTTTTCACGGATCCAGGTCTGGAAGTGGCAATTTTAGCAAAATTGACAATAGCAACCTTTTTCGCATACATTTTTTATGACTAAAATAAAATCTACCCCAAATATAACACATGTTGTTTTTCTATTTTAAATTCAATAATTTAAACCAGCCCTTCAGTCTAACGTCAGGATTAGTGACGAGAAAAACCGACATTAAACTTATTTAAAGAACAATGGCGAAATCATTGTTAAAAGAATTCGTTAGCGTTTTCCAATGTCATAATTACAAATTTGAATAAAATAAATTCATTAAGTTTTTAAAATTATACTGAAGGATTATTTAAGTCTGGAAATAAAATCAAATTTAAAAGAAACTCAAATGAGTAATTAGCATGTAGCCGGACAGATATCTATAACAGTCAGTTTCCTAGTTTCTTAATATAGAGCGACATCTAGCCGCTGTTTTCCAGTACTTACGTATCTTAGACTATGGAAACCAAAGGGATGTTATGTTGATATATATAAATCAAACGTTATTATGTATATGATGCATTTCGACGGTGAAATAACAAACACGTTATTGTATTTATTTAACTACTGCGTGCCGTCGTAAGCCAAAAGTGATAGCATTACACTGGTCTGAACCAAACACAGGAATCGAAATAACGTCATCTTAAATGCCAATTGTGTCCATTTCGCAAGATTTCGCCTTTCAGACGGTCTACTCCCGTTCTCCATCCGAAACAATTACTGTCAAATAAATAATACTGGACCAAATAAAAAAACGCGTGACGCGAATGAAGCTTCATACTTTACATTGTCTTTTGAGTATACCCCCAGATACGGTTGTCGAAGGGACGTACATCAAATTAATGTCAAAACCTTGAGACTATAGAAACCAAAGGACGTGTTATACTGACATATATAAATCAGACGTTATATGTATATGATGCATTTAGACGTTGAAAACATAAACATTTTATTGTCTTTGTTTAACTACTGCGTGCCGTCGAAGCCAAAAGAGCTAGCACTACATTGATTTATGTCAAACACGGGAATCGAAAATAAGTAATGTCATCTTAAATGCCAACTGTCGTCATTTTACCATTTTTGGAGTACCCTTTGACATCCGTATCCGGTTGTCAAAGGGAAGTACATCAAATGTCAAAACCAATGTTTCGCCAAATGTTATAAAGAATTATTCGCATGAATTGGACAAAAATATTGACAGTGAAAACAATTAAGTATTGATTAAATTGCGCTGCAGCATCAAGGGGTGCGGCAGCAGAAAAGGCGGAAATCAACCGAATGTTACATTACACCGGCGTATGTGTTATTTTTTTGTCTATAAATCATACAATAGCCCAAATATCTCGTGTAATTAGACTCATTTAAGTAGTTTATTCATAAGTCTTGCCGAATTTTGCTTTGGTTACTTTATATTGCCTGTTTGTTAGTATATTTTGAAGATTGTTGATAACGATTAATTTGAGATAGTGTTGTTCTTGCAAGCAGACATATTACCGATGTTCTGTTATTAAAACAATTCACTACGAGGTTTTTATTTTTTCATTATTATTATTTTTAAAGTTTACCTACAAATGAAAAAAGAAAGAAAGGATGGTTGGAAATTATAGGACTGCCGAACACAATCATTGGATCAAATACCATTTTCGTTTGTTCGCTCCATTTTGAAAAGTCAAATTTTAATAGAACTTTGAATGTAACTAGATTATATGATAATGCAATTCGATCGTTACATTTATTGGTAAATAAATTTATATTTAATTTTGACATTGATTAAAATGGCTCATTACTTGCCTTGTAATAATAGCCTAGTGTTAATCATACTTTGATTACAGTAAACTATACAAATTTGCAAACATAAAATCAGTTTGAACATTCAAGTCATACATTTGTATGTCGATATTGACTTAGTACAACACTAAATTCGCCATATGTGTGGTACAATTTTGGTTTGGGTAGGTACGTTTATTCCGTAGATAGGGCAGCTCCTTTCCTTTATTTTTTCCATCCTCTAAGGCAGCCTTACCCAAAGTGGGCGATAACGCCCCCTTGTGGACGCTGCAGGCCTAAAGGGTAAGAGGCCCAGAAAAAAAATGGGGGCGTTGTGTAGAGGCTTAGGGGGAGATTTGTAATTTCATCTAGGAAGACTCTTCGGCACGTATTCTAGACCTCTACTCAATGCTCAAGTCAGGATTTGAGTATGGTTTAAAGCACTCGAAATCATACTCGAGTCTTTGCCATTAGGGTCGTATTTCCAGTGCTTGTATTTCCAGTGCAATCCTGAATTGAGCATTGAGTAGAGTTCTGGAATACGACCCATAGACACCGACTGAGCTCTCGACTCTCGACTACAACTTGTGAACATCAACTAATATTAATCAAGAAAGAAATTGCTCGAACTAACTCGGTTCGATATTTCTCTCCGTTTAGTTTATATATCTATCCTGTTTTATTGAATAAATAAAATAAAAATCATGTCAATCGGTCGCTCCGTTTTGAAATGAAAGTAGACACAAACAAACAAATAAAAAGGCACAAGACACTGTTTCGCATTTTAATAGTTATTAGTATTCCTAGGTAGGTAATTTTCGTAGATAATAGACCACGGGCAACCATGTTTTAACAAGTTTTTGTTAAATAACCCGATTTGTGCATTCTTGTATCAATCGGCTAGTTCATAGAATACTTGTTCTTACTTGTTGAGTACGATTGCGAGTCGAATGAGATAAACGAGTTTATGCATGATTGTCTTATTCCTGTCGGTGCGTGCTGCTTATGCAATCCTACATAAACAACGTATTATTTATTTTACTTTCATTTGCGGTTTCGCGCGTAATAGATAAGCAGTACTTAAGTTCAACACTTACTTACGTATTTTTTAAAACAAAACGATGTCTGAAGTAAAAAAGAAGAGATGGCAATACTGTGCGGAATATATTAAATTCGGATTCATTGAAAATGCCACAAACCCATCGTCGCCTTTGTGCCTTCTACGTATAAAAACATTTTCGAATACATTAGACACAAAGGCTTCATAGAATACTTAAAAAATAAAATTCCAGATGTCCTTGCTGTACATTGCGTTATTCATAGACAACACTTGGTTGCTAGAAATTTAAGTGAACGACTATTTCAATCACTGCAATATGTCATCAAAGCAGTCAATAAAATCCGTAACAGCTCTTTGAATGATAGATTATTTCATCAGCTTTGTGTTACTAATGACGAAGATTTCAACCGTTTGTTGTTTCATACGGAAGTTCGTTGGCTATCAAGAAGCAATTGTCTGACTCGATTTTACAACCTGTTTGACTCTGTGATAGAGTTCTTGGAAACTAAAAATACAGAATTGCGCAACAAGCTCATTACATCAAAGAATGATATAGCTTACATGACAGACCTGTATAAATTGTTCAACGACATGAATCTCCAACTGCAAGGCGATGAACTAAATTTAATTAAAACAAAAAATGTCGTTGCCGCTTTCGCAGCCAAACTGCTTCTAATCTACACAAAAAGAATATGGGCAGACGTGAGTTTCACAATTTTCCGAATTTATCAGTCTCCTGCAGTAACGAAAACTTGTATGCCTACTGCCAACATTTGGAAAACCTCCACATTGACTTCACCGAACGATACCAGGACATTTTGAACTTGGAAATACCAGACTGGGTGTTGGATCCGTTTTCAAATGGCAACACAGCAATATTACCTCGGCTGGAAGAAGAACTTATAGCTTTGACAACAAACGAGGAAATAAAAATCAAGTTCAAAAATGGCTACCAAGAATTTTGGCTACAAAAACCGAACCCGCAATTGTACCCTGGATTGTGGTCAATAGTTCAACGATTTTTGATAGCATTCCCATCGTCATATTTGTGTGAACGTGGTTTGAGGGTCGTATTCCAGAACTGTACACAATGCTCAAGCCAGGATTTGAGCAGACTTGAGTATGATTTCAAGCACTGGAAATACGACCCTAATGGCAAGGACTTGAGTATGATTCCTAGTGCTTTGAATCATACTCAAGTCCTGACTTGAGCACTGAGTAGAGTTTTAGAATACGACCTTTAGTGCTGTGATAGATAACGCTGTTTACTAAAAAGAGAAATCGTATGCATGTTACCGAACGTGGTGACTTGCGGCTGTTCTTAAGTAAATTAGAACCTGGATATCAACAAACTTATTAAACAGCATTGACATACCAATAAATCGGTCATCGGGTCTAAAACAAAATCCACGAAAAAAATGTGAAGTTAACCTATACAAACGTAGTGACATGTAACGAAATATAAAAAACTAAAACATTTAATTTAAATTGTAATGTCATTGCTCGGAAACACCATATTCAGCTTCTACAGGAAACTTAACAAAATACACCATATTTAGCTTCGACTGAAAAATACTTGAACATAAGAGTAATGGAGTAGCCTTTCTCGTAAATATTAATTAATTCTCATTATATATTATTACGTCGCATTTTGTACAAATTCACTTAAGGATTATAATAAAGAGTTGGGCAGATACATACATACAAATATTATTACAAATGTAAAAATAAGTGTGTACTATAAGAAATGTACCGATATTCCAACTAAATGTAAACTCATATATCCGTAATTCTGAAAACTGATTTGATCTGAAAACCGTTACGCTTTCGAGTAATTTTGATACTTTTCACAAAGCCAAAATTATTAGCTTTTGTTTTGTAATATTCCTAAAAAAATACATTTGACGTTATGAAAATTCGAGCTAATGTTATTTCGGGCAAATGTATTTTCTGACTTCTGATAGGCAATCCCAAGCCGTAAAACGAGTACAACAATATTTCATTAGTTAATGCTAACGTTTAATAAAAAAATCATTTAAAAAATAAGATTAAAATCACAGCGACTCTATAGTTTCTTTGTTCTAAATATTTCAAGCGCTTGTGGTTCGAACAATTGAAAATGACCAAGAAGTTTATAAAAGCTTCTTGAAACTGACGTAATGATTCTTTTTCCATCTTTTGCGCATGCAATGTGTAGAAAGAGGACAGTTGGCTATTTGATTATTTTGTGTGCTTATGTCATTTATATTTACGATTCAATTATATATAAATTAAATACTATAAAACTGTACAAAATAACACTTTTAAATGATAACTATGATAACACAATATATTCGTTTAGTGAAAATATGATATAAAATCATTGACTTACAAATAAAAAGGACGACGGGTCAAATACAAAAACCACGACAAAAATTTAAGTCAACCTATTTAAACGTAGTGACATGTAAAGGAATATGAAAAAGCTAAAACGTTGAATTTAAATTGTAATGTCATTGCAGTACTGCCTAATTTTGCTTGCAACAATTGAAAGGCGCAAAAGAACACCATATTCAGCTTCTACTGGAAACTTACCAAAAGGCACCATATGTAGCTTCTAGTGAAAACTACTTGAACACAGGTATAATGGAGTAGCCTTTATTATTTATAAATAAATTGTATACGTAAATGTTGAATTTTATACAATGCCATTTATTACGAGCTAGGGTGTCTGACTTTTTTTTCTTGAGTTTCGAGAATTCTCATACCCGATTTCTTCGATGTTGATGATTCGAGAATTTTTTAATAAACCGTTAAAAATCAGCTCAGTCAACTATAAAACTAAATGTGAACTTTTCGAAAGTTGTTTTGGCCTGGGTGTTCTGAGTTATACCCCGGAATAAATTCCATCGTTCTTGATCCCAGGTTCCATTCCCAGTAGAACCAATTTGGGTAATGAACTTTTGTAAATTGGTTCTGATCTGGGATTCTGTCGCTCTGATACTCATGGGGAGTATGTACAAAGAGTTCCCTAGTTTCAGACCAGGTGATTGTCTTACAATAAAATACCAAGACCAGAACCATTTAGAAAAGTTTACCAATTTAACAAATTATGTTAAATTGATCCTACCGGTATCGAACTCGGGAACTTCTCATCCAGTGCCCACAGTGCAAACCGTTAGACTATCAAGGTTGTACTATTTGTACTATTATGCATTGTTTGCATGTGAAACTACAAATTGCTTAAACTTTAAAAAAAATCCTATTTAATTTGCACAATTGAAGCAGACTGCTTCAATTATCTTCTTTATTTCTTAAGTTGGTATATTTTGTCATTCATCCAACTTTTGATTTTAAATGCATTTTCGCGGTAAAGATGTTCTCTGTTAATACTTGTCAATTTCTTCTTACCTTCAAGCTATGTTTCCTAGATAAATTACTGTATTCTCTCCTTTCTATGCATAGTTCACTCATTGATGTAATCGCATACCAAAGCTTTAATATTATGGTTCTTTATCAAGCTTGCATCAGCTCTGGTTTCCTTTCTTTTTTTACCATTTTCTTAACCCGTTCGTGCATAGTACTGAAATTATACTGCGCTCAAAAACGTCACCACTTTTCTATATGCCGTAGTGCTTACATTGATTCAATATAATTATTACGGTTTATCACTGACGACGGTTGATTCCGTCAACAGGCCTTGTGGTACTGCTCATAGTTCTTGCAAATGGTTCTTGTGCTTGAAAAAGTACGGCTATGACGGTACTAGGGTATTTGCCGTTGTGAGATAATTACAAAACTAAAATGCGCGATATTGATTGTGCAAGAGAAACGCTTTCCAAAACACTTAGGTACTAATTAATAATAATTATTATAATAACGCACACACTCAACATTGCCCCGCATTATGGAAACCCTGTGTCGCGGGTGCCATGGACACACATATAGACAACCACAAATTACACCCAAACTCACGAGAGAAATAAATGTAGGCCATACACATATTTCTCCCGAAAAACCTAAAAAAATACTTTCGGGATTATGGAAGTTCATGCAAACGTTATTTCGGGCAAATGTATTTTCGGTCTTCTGATTCGTAACCCCGAGCCGTAGAAAGAATACAACAATATTTGAAAGTATTACTAATATGTATTACAAAATATTTTAATAATAACATTAGCATCAAAGCAACTCTATGAAATTTTTGTTCTAAATATTTCAAACGCTTGTGTTTCAAACAATTGAAATTGACGTGGTGGGTCTCGTTCAGTCTTTTACGCAAGCAATGAGTCGGAAAGAGACAGTTAGCTATTTGATTATTTTGACTGCTTTTGTAAATTATATTTACGATTAATTTAAATATAAATTAAATACTATATATACTAGTGCAAAAAATAACACTTTTAAATGATAACTATGATAACATAATGTAATACTTACTGAGAATATGATATACCATCCCGTTTTTTCACTTTAGATGAGTAATTTTTACAAGGTTTTACAACACAACACGGCATCATTGACAAGCGCGCTGTCAGTCGAACGAACGAAGACTAAAGCGTGATTGACGCTCTGTATACGATTTTAACGCCCTGTAAGTTCGGACACTTTTTAGCCCGGACCCGACATCCATTTATTTGTAAGTCAATGTACAAAATCGTGTTTTTACATTTTACTGCAGTAATTTTTAGAAGTTATTATTATTGGTTGTGCATGATTGACAACCGCGCTGTCAGTCGAACAAACGAAGACTGTTGCGCGATTGACGCTCTGTATGCGATTTTAACGCCCTACAGGTGCGGACACTTTTTAGCGCGAACCCGACGTCCATTTATTGGTAGATCAATGTTAAACAGCATCAGATTAGTCCTTCACATTAGTTTTTATATTAGAATCGATTATGTTTGTTTTATTTTGAATAAAAGATTCTCTATCTGAATACTATAAAGTTGCGTTTCAATAATCATTCTCATTGGCATGTGTAGCCCGTAAGAGTTAACTTGAGACCTGAGCGCCGTTGTGTGACCTACTGTGCTGAGGTCTCAAGTTAACTCTTGCGGGTTATAGTAAAAGTCTCGTTTAGAAAGAATGTTTAATCTTCGCTAATGTAACTCACAACAATTAATTTAATTTGAAGTTATAGTGGTTTTTAAGCAGGTGAAAAAATGGGGGCGTTAAAAAATAATTTATTCTCAAAAAAATAAAGTAGATAATTCCTCCAAATATGTCACGCGAAAAAGTGGTACAATTGACCAAAAAGTTCCCGACATTAAGGATAGATGGCACGTTTCACAAAAAAAATATTTGTGTTCGAGTTGCCGGTACATATTAACTCAGTTTTCTTTCGTTATGGCTTAAATTCATGCCTTTTGACCGTACCATTATATAAAATCATTTCCTCTGAATGTTCGCCACGTCACAAACCCACTGCACCAGTCAGCTTCTTTTAACTCAGTTTAAGGCGTCTCTAGTTTATTTTGATATAATAATACACCAAATATATTTTATTCAATTATGTAAAACATAACCTCCAAAACTTCAAATTGGAATACTTTAATTCCAGACTTCTTAGAATAGTTAACCCAAAACCAAATTTGTTCAGGAAGCTAAACTCTATATTTTCACATATTTTTCATGAAATTTTGAGTCTGGCAAACAAATTATGTCAACAAAAATTAATATGGGAATTCGCCATTGTTCTTTGTGTTTTCGGTTCTTATATATACAATATATAATTTAATTATTTAATCAATTATATTAGGAAATACAAATATAATAAGGTGCTACAACTCGAGAGGTTGTCATTTGACCGATATAATTTTTTCAATTTAAAGTCATCAATTTTACATCTTCGAATAAACTTTTCGAGAAAATAGTTAATTTTTTTCATTTCTAGCAAAAGGGTAGCCAATTCACGTTATGACATTACTTTTGCGCCACCGTAAACTATGTCGAATCTTATAACGTAATAATGGAAATCCACGAATATGCTGAGCATGTTTAAACAAATCAATAAGGATTACTCACCGTAATAACGGTAGGCGTAAGCCATTCAGGTTTTGGTTGCTGAGATATTGTACTAATAAGTTGGTTGATTTCGTTCAGCGCCGACATTTTTCCGTTGAACGACGACATTTGCAACAATCGAAGAATCATTTTCAGGCGAAACATTTCAAGGGCTGAAAATTTTAAGTTCTGATAACATTTTTCTATTTTAACTTCTCTGACATCGTCTGCTCCAAATATTTTATTCCTAGATTACAACGGCCAAACCGGCGCGGTCATTGCGAGAATATAATATATATAATAGAGCTGGCGCGATCTCTTACTGAACAAAAAGCTGAAAACTCATCTTTAACCACTATTATAGCCGTGTGCAAAAAAGTAAATTCTTAATTCGTGGTAAACACACACTTTGCTCGAGCCAACTCGGACGGTGCGAGCTATTTTAGAACATTTAATCATACGATTTCTTAGAAAATAATTCATACAATGAGTAAGTAACGCAATACAGTATCAACTCAATACACGTAGACATGCAGGGAAGCGTACGTGAAGAACCACAGTGATGGTGCAACGATGAGTGTAAAGCAGTCACATACAATGTAGCGACGTAGGGGCGGATGGTATTACGCCCCTAAGCAGCTACAGGGTACGCGCCAGCCTCGTGAAGAGAAGTTACTTAACTCCATTCCTAAAAAAGCTTCATGATATATAACATATAATTTTAGGACGTCTTCACATTGTCATGTTAAGAAGACGTTAATACGTAATACGTAATAATACGGTACTAGTCGTACTGAAGAATATCCTTTACCAACAATTACATTCTGATAAATGCAAAAAAAATAACCAATGTGACATCATTGTTCACTATAGATAAAAATTGTTAGACAAGCCATTCAATACCCATAATCTTAAAAGAAATTTATATGACATTGAACACATTAGGTAAATTTTAATGATTTTATATTATTTAGTATTTGCCGTGTTGAATGACGGCTGTTAAACCGATTTCAGACATTCAATTTAATTAAGTGAAAAATGTGCAGCATGTAAACAATTTAGACGCGTTAAATTGAGGCTATCAGCGCAACAGTGTTGTAACCCACATTTAATTTTTTCCGACAATATTACTGTAAATGATAGTAAAGTACATATTTATTTTATATATGGATGCTATTTTCTAGTATAAACAAAAAATTACAATGAAATACAATGTAACACTGTAGAAAGAAAATGAAATGTGAGTTATATCAATTTTGTGCTGATAGCATCAACTAGGTGCTTCAAAAATAGGTTTTCAAAATTTTTTACTTCCAATAAAATCACACACCAAATGAAAAAATACAAGCATAAGTACATTTTTCTTTTTTCTATATAACAAATACTTCCAAGTGGTGTATAGTATAACAAAATTGTGAAAGCTAACGTGATAAACACATTTTGGTCAGTTAAAACAATTGATAATTTCAAAAGATTCATCTGTAATGATACACAAATAATAACAACAGTTTATGACAATACTTCCAAACATAATGAAAATACAGATACTTTCAAGAATAAACAAAAGGTGGTTTACTCACATTTGAGTAAGCTGTGGTGTTGAGGGGTCTTCACAGAGACGCATTTGCAGGCTCGTATTAGACAAGATACTGTATCAGTCTTATTTTCGCTACCACGTGCTTCTCTTTTTAACTCTTCGTCAGTTAAGCTCTCTAGCAGTGTAGGGATACATTCCTAAAAAGATAATATTGTATGGAATTCCATTACTCACCACAGCAATACCTAGCTGTTTACACCGAGTCGTTTGCAGCCTTCATTGTCAATTGTCTTATAAAAAAAAACATCTTTTAATAAAAATACAAATTTTTATTAAAAGTTGTTTATTGCCACATCTGTGCAGGTGGTAATCCATATAATAAGCAAATAATAATTTGTAAATTTAAGAACACATAGATCACACACTTGTATCATAAAAGAAGTATGGTAACTCCGTACAAAGAAACAGCGCGATTTGTATGGGTGTGCGACATCTCACGATGCACAATGATACTTGTCTTATTATACTATGATTGTATGGTGTTTCTATATAAACGACTGATGCGGGATTTTGCAAAAAATAAAATAATTGAATATCAATTCAATAAAAATTTAATTAATATATCAATAATGTTCATCGTAATTGACGTTTTATAGCAACCAGCACAAAATAAATTACCGATGTATCACAATTTCAATACCCACAAAATCCCCGCAGTTTGTGGAATTTCCCACAAATTGGCAACTCTGCCCAGAACACAAATCGCGTTGGGTAAGACCCCGGACACGTAGAAACCGAACGTCTGTCGCTTGCCGAAGGCGATCGTGTCTTCAATAGCGTTTACACCTAGTCGCTTCGATCGACTTCGGCTGCGGACTACGGTCGTCAGACGACTCAGTATTCACACCGTATAGCTTGCCGCCGTCGGCGAGCAAGCCGTTGGTCGTCAATCGACCTGGTGTAAAAGCACCATTACAGTTCTAACAAAGTGTGACTACCGTTGTATACGCTAGAATGTAATAGAGGTAGGTCTTACCAATACAGGTAGAAGATAAGTTGTCACAGTATGTGGAGTAAGAAGATCATGGCAAAGGCCTAGAGGTCGAAGTAGCTGCCAAACAGTCGCGACGCGGGTCTCGCCACTGATCGACTGCTCTAGTGACGATGGCTGTTCACTACGAGCTGGTGTTGAACACTGAAACAAAATTAATCCATTTAATGACAGCTAGGCCAGATCAATAAAGTTATTAAGTATCAATTACAAATAGAAAACACACAAGAGATGTAAATTAGGTAAATAAATTTACAGAAGTAATTGAACACCTGGTGCCCACCAAAACTATAGGGAGGTTACATATCTAATCATAGGCACAATCTTTGGTTACTGAGCAGCATGCAGGTATATACTACGACAATCGCAAGACGCCTTAACTTTCAACATTGTGTAGTAAAAAATATTAATGTAAGTACTCACTTCACTTCTAGACGCGATAACGTCAACATTTTCTGTGTCGTCGACTTTGTTAATTTTGTTCTCCTCTATCTCCTTCTCTGTTATTTCTTTTGACACCTTTTCTTCAAAATGCACTGACGATGTTAAGTCTGGTTTTTGGAAACCCATTATCGCATCGAAACGTTCTCGCAAACTTACAAAACCACCTGCTTGACCGAATCTGAAATTTTTTAATCAACTTATTGTGTATTTGGAAAGGAGTAACAAAAATTAAGGCATGAATATAAACGAAACGCATTGTGGTGAAGAAGCTCAAAGGATTCTACCAATATACTGTTAGAGTAGTGGGTATAAACAATTGGTGTCAACTCCTGTTTACCTTAAAAATAAATTTAGAGATAAGAATAAATGCATGTTACATACACATTTATAAGATGGACCAGCCATCCTCTAGGCGTGCGATGATCCTGCGATCTTGCAAATACTTCAGGTTCCTGTGTGGAGCCTTGACCAGTGGATATTGAGTTGGTAGTTACTGACAGACCTTCACAAGTTCGAGATGCATTAAATGTGTGAAATCTGAATGAAAAAACATTTTAAATATAGACATTTGTTTTTTTCAGTCATGTTACAATGGCCAGGATGTAAATAGCAAGTAGCTTGATAGCTGAAAAAAGCAAACATAATTGATGTGAAAACTGCCTATATTGCATCTGCAACTAACGCGGCTGTCATGAAAACGCAGATATTGTAACAATAAGAAATGCTAAAAAATATTACTTTATCTCTTTATTGCTAGAGCCTTACCACGCAAGCCATTTTTGAGCGTACGCGACGTCACAACTTCACCGCCAGTATTGCGTCATCGACATAACAATAACGTTCACTCGTAAGTGGTATGGTACTCAATGGGCTTTAATAAAACTTTTTCACGAATTACCCCAAAGACAATAATATCCTTACTTGTTATTAGGATTGAAAGCCATAGACAGTAAATTCAAGAATCTCGCATCGTCCAGTTTCATCGCGCACAATTTGACGAGTTTCTCGCAGTTGGACCGGACACATTGCTGAATGTTGTTCTTCCATGACGATACTGCGTCGTCGGTTAGTATCTTTGTGAAGGAGACAGTGAGGGCGTCATTGTAAAACCGCTGACATCCTGGGTGGTTGATATCTTCACCTAAACAAAATGATACATCAGTATGTATCCTCAAGATAAATTTTGGTTTTCGAAAAGATAAAAATGAATTATTATTCCCTTATTTAAAAATAGAACACAGTCCAATTAGCATTGAATTTGTTTGACATATCACTTATATATATCATATACACTTATACATAAAATTACAAATTAAATTAGATTTCTATCAAACTTTTCAAAGTAAACTGTATTAGCTAACACTTTTTTTTTAATGATGTTATTCTTTATACACCTAGAGCCACTTATTATCTTTATACAGACCACCAAACACACCCCAGTGGTCTGTAACACAGGTCTCCAACCTAGTACAGACTCCAGCTCTCACTAAGGAACTTGTATTTCACATGTGATGTAACAATAAACTATATTTTACTTAGACCTTTCTGAGAGAAATAAAGCATTTTGTACTTTTTTGTATTGTATGTTTTTACAGATATTTGCTCTATTTGTCTACATTAATGATACACTCATGAATAGAGGCCACGACAAATATAAACTGCATTAAATATTTAGTTTTAACCCATAAAACAAACAGATTTTACAGGAATATTTAAACATACTAACACTTTGCTGTCAAATTAATGCAAAAAAATTTGATGACTATACAAATGGTGCAATTACCATATCTCTTAGAATCAAAAACTTTTTTAGATGATATCTCTCTGTATATCCATTAATGGGCATTGTAAAAAAACTATATATTATAATAATATTAAAGTTACATAAATAGCACTTTATGCACAACATATTTCTTAAATTGTTTTTAGTTACGTTGTATATCTTTTGTACACCTATGTCGATTTAGTGTTACCTTTTGCTGCAAGATCTGTGGCAGCAATAAGGAGAGCTTCCAACTCCTGCTCTGGCAGCACTGGCACCACCCAGCGAGGATGTGATATCTTCTCTTCTAATGCTTTTAGTTTAGCCTCGGGGAATACCATCTAAACAACAAATATTACAATTTCTTTACAACAATTTGAACTCTTGCACAGGCACATGGAAAATAACGAAGCATCTAAGAATCATTATTAATTCACTTTAAAAAAAAAACATTAAAAATGTAAACAAACCATGGAAAATGTAGTTTCTTGGAGGTTATTAAAATATAAGCATGTTACTACATTATGAATCCAAATGTACTTACCTCCCCGGGCACCTGTTCTTGTTCTTTCATTGATATTGTCATTATTTTACCATGTGTCTATTCATTGCACCCACCCTGAAAACAGTGTTCTATTTTAGAAGTTACAAAACATTTTACAAAGACAAAAATTACTGCAATATTAATATGAACAATCTTTATACTAATTGATTATAAAGAATAGGCAATTAACAAAGTTTAACAATCCCCACTGACAAGAATAAAAAAATCAAAGGCATTATGAAAGTCATTATGATAAATCAATAGATTCACATGTATGCTTTATATCACCACCAGCAAACTACAATACTTCATCAAATTAATTTAAATATAATGGAAAACAGCTGAGACAAACAATAATTTTAACAGAATATGCCCGGCAATCAGATAATTACTGCAGGACGATCTATTAGAATCGCCTCGATCGTTTGTTTCTGTTTGCAAGTACTTGAAATCATATCCATAAATATATCCACAAAATCTATTATACAAATTCATAACCGATGGACACATAAAGTTTAGGGCTTGTAAGCTCAATGTACAGATGATAAAATTGTGTACTTTTCCACAAGGCGATATACAAAATAGGTACTCCCAGAGGAAAAAGTAAAACATTTTTCTCCGAATTTCGGTGTCGATTCTTCAATTATGTAATTTTCTTTAGATTAATACAATCATTTACTCAGAAAAAGAAACATTTCATATTTCTTTCCTATCTATATAGGAAATGGGCGTTCAACGTTTATTCGAAGATCCAGACAAAATAAATTCCTCTGTCTACAATCAGCCGGCGCGACAAAATGGCGTCATTATCCAAAACAAGATTGAGCAAAAAAAAATGTAATAAAGCTTTTCTCAATAGTTTCGTCATAACAAGAATTAACTAAATAACGAAATATATTAACCTTACCTTCAATAAATAGTCAAATTATTGAAAAAAACTCCGAACTTATATCACAAAATTCGTAATGCACTACACTTTTTGACGTAAGAACGAAAATAGATGAAAAATCCGTCTAAAGTTCTTTATAGATGGACTATCATACTTTTGTAACTAGTATCAAAAATATTATCGATTAATTGAAATAAAATTGCTGTTAACAACATGTTTACCTAAGCTCAGATAAATTTGAAGAAAAACAGAAAGTGAAAAACTGGAAAAAATAAAAACTGATAATAATAAAAAAAAAATACGTGTAACCCAAGTTGTGCATACATACTTATTTTTCATAACAGTAATAGATATCACAGTAGCTGTGACTACTACTAAAAAAACCCTCAATCGTAATATGTCAAAAACTGACAATATCAAAAGTTGTTTGTGTTTCAATAGCAGCGTTGCCAATGCCAATTGTTCAAAATCCCCAAAAATCACGGTTAAAATCCCGAAATTTGGGGAGAGCAAAGTTCATATTCCCCACAAATTCCCCACATCTCGAGTTTTCATTATTTATTACAATTAAATTGCTTAAAAATATAATAAAGAATTGAGAAACTTAAATGTAACCATCTATTACGTTTGCTATGAATGTAAGCAGAATGTAAAACGTAAATCAAATTATAAAATTAGATGACCTTAAATCGTTTATTTATTTTAATGAGATTCGACATTAATCAAATAAAAAAAAAAAATTTCTTTGCCTCACAAAATTAAGTAACTAGTTAAGTTACTTTGTTGCGCATTTGGTGACACTAAGATTAATGTTAGAAAAAAAAATTAGTAAATTAATTTTGGACCTACATTTAATATTGAAAGTTGACGAATGGTAAGTTGTGGTGTGAAAGTACCAAGTTCTCGGCTTTGTTTATCTATAGCTGATTTCGTTTTTCTTCGTACTGGGGACCGGCCTAAGTGGGAAAAAGGATCGCGAATTCAACACGCACCGACTGGTAATTTTACAATTAAAAACCAAGTGCTCTGATAATAATTCTATTTAGGCTGTTTGTTAATAATGCGAGGGATGTGCGATGTTGAAAAACACGTCGATATAGTTCATCACAGTGTTTCTACCAATAACGATCAAAGTGGCGATGCATCAGCAATCGACAGATTAAACAAAATCATGAAATGTTATATTCTCTATATTTTCCCCACATAGCACCAACTCCCACAATATTCCCAAACTAATTGAAATTCCCCGCAATTTGGGGAATTCCCCACAAATTGGCAACGCTGTTTAGAAGGTAGGTAGCATAAACCATAGACAACTATGTAGGCATAAACTATGAAAACTCTAAGGGCGCGTTCCCATTATATCGTAACCATAGTGAGTATAGTGTTCTGTGGTCGTAACGTTTTATTTATCGTTGGACGACAGTCGCGTCTAGCTTGTTCCCACTAGAACGTGACGACAATTTATCGGTTCAGGGCAACTGCCGTGTCGTTTGCACAACGGAATCGCTTGAAGCTGCGATTATCTGTCTTCACCTCGGAGTAATGACAATTCACATTTTTATCGTGACGTTTTATTTACCGTTGACTGTCGTTCTAGCTCTTCCCATTATCATGACAGTCTGTCGTTGTAACATCAAAAAACTGAACGACAGTTAATCTTGTTATTCTATGTGTGAACAACTCTCATTTTTTTCCATCCTCTAAGGAACAACTTCATTTAAACATATAAGCCACGACACTTTGAATTGCACGACGGGCGTCACCAGTCGTCACGACATAATGGGTACGCGCATAAGCGTATTATCTGACCTTCGGACCTTCTTTCCTCCTTTCAATTTGTATATCTATGACTTTTGCACACGTGTGGATACTATTTAAAAAAATTACATTGGTTGAGATGAATTATCTCCTTTTTTTTTAATCTGTGTAATATTAATTTTATTATTTGCTACTGCAACTGCAGTGAGTTTTGTCACCACAGACTATTAGATGTTTATCCAATGTTTGTCACAGAGTACCACCACTCATCAAAGTAGAATAAAAGTCTTAAAAATAATAAATAAGAATTATAATTGAAGTAAAACTTTAGAAAATAATAAGTTATCATAGTGGTTTGTGATAAGTTATTATATTTGAATGGTTTTCTCTCTATAAATATTAAAGTGTATTAAATATATTGTATACTATGAACCCGAAAAGCCAAGAGGCAAGAAACCGGGAAGAAAATCCTTTTGAGGGAATGGACATAGCCAGTGCAGAACCTCTCAATGCTTTGATTAGCCGAAGCCCGTGTACACAATGCGGCAAATCTCGAATGTATTTCTGTTACACATGCTTCGTTCCAGTTGCACAAATCGAAGGCAAAATACCGTTATGCAGAGTAAGTTAATATCAGTAAGTAAATAAGATTAGGAAATAACTAATTTGCTAATTTTCCTCATAAAATTTTCAGCTGCCAATAAAAGTAGATATCATCAAACACCGAAGAGAAATAGATGGTAAGAGTACAGCAGCGCATGCAGTAGTTCTGGCTCCACATGAAGTCACTATTTACACATATCCAGATGTGCCCGAATATGAACATAATAGCAGAACTGTTCTTCTGTATCCAGGGACTGATGCCTATACAGTTAGAGAACTTTTTACAGGAAAGCAATCAGCTGTCAGTTATTCAGATCAGAGACGAGCAGAATTACCAGCTGGTTACAATGTAGGTACATTGATGACTAAATCATATAATAGAGACTGGAGCCAACATATATACCATGTGGAAAAGCTACCAATAGATCGTGTTATATTAATAGATAGTACTTGGAATCAGAGTCGTGGCATCTTTGCTGATGAAAGACTGCAGAAAATACGTAAAATAGTATTACAAGACAGAGTGTCACAATTTTGGCGATATCAAAAGGGAAGCCCTAGGTGGTACTTATCTACTGTGGAAGCATTACATCAGTTACTGCTAGAGCTGCATTTATGTGCATGGGGTCGCAGTAAACATTACATATCTAGCCCTACAATCGCTTTTTCAATACATACTGAAGATGGCCATTTTCAATGTACACCATACAAAGGACAATATGATAACTTATTGTATTTCTTTAAATATATGTATGAGAAATTACATACACTGTACAAACATGATGATATGCTAGCTTATAAAAGATCTATGACGTAGAAATTGGATTTTGATTTCAATACTCAGTTTCATAATATTTGTAGTTTTCCAAAATAAAACAAAATGATTACTAAATTATACTTTAATTATAACCTACTAATCTTAACTTTACATACAAAAGCCATTACATCATCATTTATTGAAATTACATACTTTCATTATGTTAATAGAATTACAGTAACACAAATTCCAATAATGCTCACCTTATTTTACATAATATATACCTTGTTTATCAATATATTCATTAAATTATAATACAAGGTAGTTTTGTTGAATAAGAATTCAAAAAATATATTACCACTATCATCAGGCACAAACAACAAAAATATACACCCATATCGTTGTGTTCTGACACAAACGAGTAAAATATAGTAATTAAGAAACAATATAACCTACATATTCTTGTTATAGTTACAACTTTCTGTATAACACTGTCTGTTATTCAGGGAAACACCCTGTCCTAGAGTTTACGCAAGTCTAAAACAAAAACACTACCGTCACTTGCACTAGCGCCAACTTTTGTACCTCGAGAATTCCAGCAGACTTCGAAGATTCCTCCTGTTCCCTTATAAGAGTGTACTAGTCCACCGGTTTGTGTTGACCATATATGAACACATTTGTCAAATGAGCCACTTGCCAAGAACTTTCCATCTGGTGAGAAGGCCACACTGTAAACAGGCTCTGTATGTTTTGTCAGTGTATGAATACAGACACCTCTCTCCACATCCCATAGACGGACTGTAGAATCAAATGATGCGCTGGCCAAGATGAGGTTCATATTGGGATTGGCTGTCCCTGGTCCAGTTGGAGACCATTTAATAGTGTAAATTTCTTTGGAGTGAGCTTGTAAGTCATGCACACATGTGTCTTGCTTCATTGACCAGATCTTGAGTGTCATGTCATCAGAGCAGGATGCAAGCAGCTGTCCTTGAGGATCCCACTTGATAGCATTTACTTCATTCTATAATAGGAATATGCATTAGTAAGTTTTTTACTGGCAAATTACAAAGTTTAAGCTTTGACAAACTTACTGTATGTCCTTGGAAGCTCTTGATGGGCTTGTCAATGTTTAATCTACACACATGGATGCACTGATCAGTTGAGCATGAAGCAAAGGACTGGTTGGTCTGCCAGTCAACATCAAGAGCTGGGGCAGAGTGGAAAGAGAACTGTTGAGTGCATTGTCCTGATGCTGCATCCCAAATTATTGTGGTCTTGTCAACCTAAAGCAAACATTACACATTAAATATATTATGTCCAAAATTAAGTTCTGGTTTAAGGCTTTTTTAAGGTCATAATTGAATATTGCTTACCCCAGCACTCAAAATATAATTTCCCCTTTTATTCCACTTAAGAGCAAATATGGGCCCTTTATGTTGACCTAATGTGGATGCCAGTGTTCCATCTGTCGTCCATATGCGTGCGTAACCATCGTAAGATCCTGTTGCTAGGAGATTACCATCACACTGAAGAAAGAAAAATAATTTAACTATGTTTTTGCACATAAAACATGTGTATTACAAGGAACACAAACAGGACAAAAAAATTAAAACATACATTCCAATCCAAAGAAGTGACATCTTTATTACTGGGTACTTCAGCCCCTCCCTTTTGTATGCAGTGTCTTAGAACTAATTGATTTGGAGTAGTAGCAGGATTATCTGACATGTCCCAAATTCTGAAATAGTAAATATTGTACATATTAGACCACATTTTTCACACCAATGACTCAATGACAATACAATAACAAAGAATATGTAAGAAAAAAGTGTATTTGACAATCAGAAATGGTATTTATCTTGGGGATAATATTATTTGATCCTCAGAGATATACTTGATCTATTGTAAATGTCCGCTGCACCGCCGGCGACGAGTGCTCGAAGCTAATTTGCTTGCATTTCTGAACATGTTTTCAGGTCGTATTATAATTAATATAATATTAGTATACAAATATCATCAACATATTTAGTTTTAAAAACAAGTATCTAAATTTTATTTTAATGATCTTATAATCTATCTAAACAAATTAAACATTTTTTGTGTAGCTCAAAACAGATTAAAATATCTATAGATTTAATGTATTTTATGTCTCGGAGAAAGAGGATCAATAATTTAAAAAGATGACTATTTAAATTTTTTGCCTGCTGCTTTTACAAATTTGAAATAATCATTTAAATACATGTTTTGTTTTAATACTATGAGAATCAATTTGTCAAATTCAGATTTGTATCATACAATAATATATCATGTAGTAAGTAGAAACATTACAAAAACACTCATGTAAATGGTAATACCTATTCATAAAATTGGCAAGTACTGTAAATTATTGTCCAAATAAAATTTTGCTGTTTCTTTGATTTAAGGCTACTGGGTGATTTTAGTTAAAAATCATATCTCAAATAATTTACATCTATCAGAATTTACAGAGTGAAAAAATTAAATTAACCATTAGATGTGGAGAAATTGTGTAAGTTGGTGATTTATTATTATTATTTTGAATATAACAATAGGTGCATTTATGTAATATGACAATTATGGCACAGGTTTTACTACTATACACACAGGAATTTGATTGAACAATTTAAATTCATTTAAACCTGTGCATTTCATAATCTGAAAAACATAGGGATAAAAAAGCTAGCAATGAACCTATCTAAGCTGTCTTACTTACCTGGCTGTACTATCTCCAGACCCGCTAGCCAGTAGATCTGTACTGGGGTTCCAGGCACATATGAACACTTCAGATTCATGTCCTCTGAGAACTGTAGCTTTATTGGCAGGAATCTCAATGGATTGGTCTACATCCATGTTTTCTGGAGCACTTGGTGTTGCTGCTCCTCCGCCAGCTGACGCTGCACTGCATGTTGTACCCTGGTAATTACAGTTATTGTGCTGCAGAAACAGTAAACCATAATAAAGCTTTACTTATTTGTTATTGTTTACAACTACTGTAGTGAAAGTACTTGTCATCAAATAAATTAGCAAATATTTCTACAAACATACATCAACACCATTCTGTTCACTGCCGGATCCTGGTTCAGCCTTAATGGCCTGCTTCTGGGCGTTGTGGGCATTCTGTCGAGCTGCTACTATGTCTGGAGTCACCGCATCTATTAAACTTAAGCTTTCCGTAAGACGTGTTTCTGTACCTGAAGAAATAATTATTATTGTACAGTAAATGATTTGTTAGGACTCATTGATGATAGTGACAACGAATAATACTGCAAAGATACCATCTTCTCCAATAGTTATTTCCGCTTCTGTGTACTGTAGGCCCTTCTGTAAAATATTGAGTAGCGCAGCTGGAGGAACGAGTGCTCCATTTATGTTGCTTTGCGATATATGAGATTCGATGCCGAAGGTGTACGCCGAATGGTGGAAACCTGAATTTAGTAACACATTTCATTTATACTATGACACACTAGCTATTTCAAACAGTTAGCGTCTTCTGAGTTCAATGAACCTACCTGATTCCTGCAAGTACCGATAGACAAGAAAATTCACTTCGTCACTAGTGAAACTCATTTTGTAATAGATTTATTGTGAACCATAGGTGGTAATTCATATAGAAACGTGTAAATTAAGAAAAATACAAGAATGTAAAAGAGTAACCGCGTATGACAAGTTGACAACCATTAACGTAATGTTGCCAAATAACTTTACTTTTTGTTCTTAGCATTGTCGTAAATAAATTATGCATCGCTCCATGCTAAAACCACATTATGTGTTGCCATTATAACTGATCATTTTTTATTTTTTTTATTAAGGCTTTGGCAAAGCCATCTGCCTAAACATGAAGTTTAAATGTTTCCGTAAATATGGCCGCCACAAAGAGGATAGGCAATTTGAGGCGACGTGCTTGGATTGACTCGGGACTCCCTAAAACGGGCCGATACGGGTATTTTAGTTCGAGATTCGTATAATTTCGCGTTTTAATCTTCGATTAAGGCACAATAGCACTATCCTATTCCACTTTAAACTAGATTTCACGAAATAATTGAAAGTCAAAATAAAAACGACACTTTTCCCTCCAAAAGGTCCAGAGCGAAACTAACTAACTGATCATAACTATGCTTATCTATGGCTTATCTTATGATACTAGCTTTTAAAAGTTTTGGCTTAGATATAAGTACTTTGAGCCATTTCTTCATTTAATTATCTGGATCCTCATTAAATATTTTCCATAGTAGTTCTATAACATTAATGTTCACTTTCAGTAAAATTACATTATTGTCAGTTGTCCCTTCGAACAGACACTTTGAATTCGTAATTATTTGTATTTTCAGGATAAACTCTTTTGTAATTTCAATTCAATTCAATTATTTATTTAATTAGGTATTAATCCCATAACATTACATTATACATTACACGGTCATAAAAATTTAAAAGCAATTAATAATAAAAAAAAATTAAGAATTAAATTCAAGTTACTAAGTAATTAAAATAGATAGTAAAATAGATAGTAATTAAAATACAATTAACTAGATTAACATTAGGAACATTAAAACAGTTATAATAGTCACATCTTAAAAACAAAGTCTGCGCAAGTTCATTACTGGACTTGTTTAGTCTCTGCAAGAGATCATTGACGCTTTCGTAAAAGGGCGTAAAAATCGTCCACTCTGGCAGACGTAACATGGCCCGAAATGCATTGTTGTACTGCACTCGTAGTGTTTATCGATCGTTTAGTGTAATTATTCACAGCTGACTCGCATAAAACGCCTTCACCTGGTCTGAGTCACAAAACGCCGCGCCAACATATTGTCCTTCACTGAGATAGCTCGGCGCTGCCTCTCAAGGTCCTCATCATCTGTAAATCTGTTTGTAATAGTGGGTCCCAGGTATTTAAATGTAGAAACTACTTTTTACGTTGATCCAAGTAACGTAATCGGCGCAACAGTGTCTGGCCCTTTGTCATATTTAAACACCATCAATTCTGTCTTTTTCACGTTATAATGAAGACCATGAACGACGGCATACCGTTCACATAATATGTGACATATATGTATGTCAATAAGTTTCCTCATTCAACTAATAGAAGGACTCAACAGTGCCATATCGTCAGCATAACTACTGATGTTTGCACAATCCTGCCACATGTCAGTCGAATGCAGCTCTGCTAAGTTCCTCCATCAGATCGTTTACATTTCTCTGTCTAACCCCGCAGTCCAACTTGTAAGGCTCAGAGATCGCATCATCCTAGCGCACCAATTTAATCTGATTCCCATACCAGAATTTCAACAGACATGTCACACTACTTGGCACTCCAACATTTTTTACCACAATAGCTCATAGTTGATGGTGTCAAAAGCGTGGCTTAGGTTGAGAAAGCAACCACATATAGTAGTTTTTTCTTTTTACATAATGCTTTATGATATTCTTGAGTCAAAATATAGCCATATCCGTAGAGAGACCAGGCCGAAATCTAAACTGAGCTTTATTTAGTTTTACCGTTACCGTAATTACTACTAATACCATTACTATTACTACTACTACTACTATTTGACAGTAATTGTTTCGGACGGATGTCGAACAGCGATCGAGAGTAGCCCCCCCAGAATTCTACTCAATGCTCAAGTCAGGACATGAGTATGATTTCTAGCACTGGAAATACGACCCTATTGGCAAGGATATGAGTATGATTTCTAGCACTGGAAATACGACCCTATTGGCAAGGACACGAGTATGATTTCTAGTGCTTAAAATCATACTCAACTTCTGACTTGAGCATTGAGTAGAGTTCTGGAATACGTACCTGAGACTATGGACCGTATTCCAGAACTCTACTCAATGCTCAAGTCAGGACTTGAGTATGACTTCAAGCACTGGAAATACGGCTCTATTATCAAGGACTTGAGTATGATTTCTAGTGCTTTAAATCATACTCAAATCTTGACTTGAGCTTGAGTAGAGTTCTGGAATACGACCCTAAGGAACTATCCTCTAAATTAAAATTTGATTTTACTGAATGAAAACGACGGAGCTATCACGGAGCCATAAAAAGATTTTTACCGCTGTTGTCAAATGAAAGAAAGAAAGAAAGAAAGAAAAATAATTTATTTGGCAACATTTTACAATAAATAATACAAAACAAACACAATCATACATTATATGTTACCAAAACAGTCACCACTCAGCTTTGTGTAGTGAGACGTTGAAGAACGCCTCATTACGCTGGTTTTCAGTGGCACCAAATCATTTTAAATTTTGTTTTTCTTTATCTTCCCTCAGTCATACAATTTAATTTTATAATTCACGATAAATAAAACTCAAAAGATATTTCTAAACGAAGAACATAATATGAGCCACATTTTTCAAACTTTCAGATATTTTTCCGGAAAAAATTAAATTTTTTTGGAAAATTACCCAGCAGCACAGCAGTAGCTGTGCGTGTGAGGTCTGTGGTATTATATATTATCTATGGTAAAGTCGTTATGTCAAGCGAGTTGAGCAAAGAGTAAAGTTTGAGGGGCAGTGAAGCGAAACACGAAAACAAAATATTTTGTATTTAACTGGTTTGAAGACATAGGAGAAATCTTTAGTGGATATTGATACTTTGCTAATTTAATTTAAATATGTAGTTTACTGAACAGTCACATTTTTTATGATACGTAACAAATCTGCTTTTTTATCCCGGATTTCCCTTTACATGCAATATTTAATTGATTTTATAGTGGTTACGAAAATACGGTGAAAAATGGACTCGTCTGCTACTATTATTGCAGCCCAATTGCATAAATTATGCGTTAGCTTATCTTCTAATCCAGGTGAGACTCAATTTTCAACAATAATTAGAAATTTCGTATTCGGGCGCCCAATTTTCGCGAATTTTATTTTTGTTATATGACACTGTATGTAAAAAGATTATTCAACGTACCTAAATTATATTAAGAAGGTTTAAGTTTATTTTGTCTTTTTTTGTCAAATTTATGACATTTGACATTATCAATTTTCTCATTGCAATTTAGAAAAGTTTATTTAGTATAGTTTAGTTTCATTTATGAACAACTTTCAGGACCATTTCAAAGATATAATATCTAGATATAGAAGAGGTAATTGCTAAATTATATATGATTTTTGGATATAGTACGGCTGGTGTCTGAAACTTGACGTCAAGGTATTTTGCATAAATTTAAATTTTTGGATGTTCTTCACTGGACGTTACAGATGGTGCATATGAATTGGCAGTTTCTTATCTATCTTCAACTGCAGAAAAAACACGTAGTATTCAGGATGAGAAGCTTCTTTGCCAGAAGATACTCTCCCGCCTTGCAAGCAAGTCTGCTAAAGATGCTGATAAATTCAATGAGTGTTACGGCAAGCTCAAAAAGTCTGTGAGTAATCACAAGTCTAGTTCTGTTTTACTAAATTCATTTACACATGGATCAATTTTGCTTAATAACTTCTTTTTTAAATTTGATTTTGAGTTTGCTAACAATATTAAAGTTTTTTACTATATATCGAGTTCTTGGGTTTTTGCAATTGTAACACATAGGAAATGAAACTATTTTACGGATTTAAATTGCGTATATTTGGTTTTTAAACAAACCGACGTTTAGGGCCCTTTACAGGTCCATGTGAGTTTTTTACTATACTTTAGTATTTGCGCTTAGTCTAATAGTATGTAATGCAGCATTGACATATTGCTCATGGAGTGTAGCAACAACACAATTGTAAAAAAAAAACATAACTCAGATAAATTATAGAAAATGAAACAATTTTTTTCTCAGATCTAAATTTCCTATATTTTTTTTTCAAACCAATGTTAATAGTTCCATTTCCTAAGTGTAAGAATTGCGAAAATGTAAGGGCTCATTCAGAGTGCAGGCGCGTAAGCGACGACAGGTGCAGGTGCACGGGTCTTCGCGTCTTTCCTTTCACAGTGCTGAAGCGGCTATGAGCGGGTAGATCCACACTTCATAATCGCACACAGACGCTTGACCAAGCACTGTGAAAGGTAGAGGTGGACCAAGCTAATAGATCTACCCGCGCACCCGCGCCCGCCTCGAGGCAGGCGACTGCGCGCGCGACCTCTAAACGCAAGGAGCGTCTACGTACATTTGGATTACACGCACCCACGCGCGCCGTTACTCTGAATAAGGCTTAAGAACTTGATAAGATAATTGAGAAGCATCAGAACAAAAACCAATAATTCACATTTTAACTTGTTCCCTTTTTTAATGTCAAATGGTTGATTTCCTGTACATCTCTATGAGTAATAATTTAGCCAACCTGAACAGCAACCACTAAATCATTGTTAAAAATGTTATTCAAATGCACAAATCTGCACACTATGCGACTAATCCATTCAATGAGACTGACAGAAATTAGATGCAAAATTTAACAGTTTCATTGGTTGTTTTGTTCTGCAGTTCCTCAGTTATGGCATTACTCATCTAAAGTACCTGTGTTTACTAGGAAAACAAAGATGTTATTGTGAGTCATTGTGACATTAGAACAAAAATGAAATGGAAAAGTTATATATAGTTAATTCTGTCCAGGAAAATTCTATACTGTATGATTATGCCTTTGTTACACCAGTTGACCAAATTATTACTACTTGTTTCAGTTTATCCTAAAACAGAGAGTGTCCATATTGGCCTTGTTACTGGCTTTATCAGAGGGCCTGAACCACAGTGAATCTACACAGCAGCTCTTTCCATTACCAATGTTCTCTATGACTGTAAGCAAGCTGCATTCATAACATACTTTACATACAACATACCATTTCTTTACAGGAGAATAATACTATTCAGTAGAATTCGTTTTGTTTGTATATAGTTACACATATTCAAATACTAAAGAACTTTAGCTTTCATGACTTGATTATAACAATATATTTATAGGACCTAGAATTTGTTATTGTTCATATATTCTTTTACATATGAGAATCTTTTCTTGCAGCCCTAAAAATAACTTTTTAACAGGAAATGTGAAAAACTTAGGAAATGAATCTATATTTCTGATCTAAATCTCGAATATTTGTAATCTATATTTGAGGTCCTTTACAGGTCCCATGGACACCGATTTAAACGCCCAGCCCATACTGGTCTACAGTCAACAGCTCATCAAGCTATACACTTCTCAAAGATCTTCACACAAGATCTGTCGATGTATAGTGTGATTTACATCCGTCCTTGCAATTGACAAACATTTACAAAACAAATCTACGCAATTTAGATCCAAAACGTAGTTTCATATGTTTCCAATATGTCAGTCTACATTATTTCCAATCAACTGAAAGTAACATCTCGATATGTCAAAAACTTAAACCTTTCACATATTTTGAATGAATAAACTTTTTCATTTATACTATTCTATACAGAAACCAGGAACTATGTTGTCAACAAACACTACAACTTGTTCAACGGGGACTACATCCAGCTCAAGTAAGCAGACATTTGGCACTGTGAGCTGGGGGAGTAACACTCAAAAGCAGCAGGGCTCAGAACAGAGCCTGCCTTCCAACAATAGCAACTATGCCATGGCACTGCCTATGCAAAACCTAGGTGAGCAATAATTAATTAAATGCAATAATAATAGCTTTTCAACTATGCTATGGCACTGCTTGTGCAAAACTCAGGTGAACAATAACGAATTAAATGCAATAACAATAATAATAGCATGATACATTTCTCAAATGTTACAATATAATTCATTAATAAAAAATTCATTACAATTCTTTAATAAAAAAAAACATTCTTAAATTAATACTAAAAATCATGGACATAAATTTCACATAAAAAATTGATACTTAAGATAAATAGTTTCAAGATTAATAATTCATTATGAATCTGTGTGCAACATTTCCCATAATTAAATTACCTGACGCAAATGCAATACACATTGCATTCAATTTTACACATTGAAATATTTTAACTCTTAATAAATGACGACGCTTTCGTTTAAGACCAACTAACTAGAAAATTTCACGAACTTAACTATTTCCTTTATGTAAATATTTGCTATTATTTAGTAGACTCTTTACTGCAACTTAATAGTAACATTATAGATAACGAGTCGTGCTCAGCCTGCGGCACGTGGTCGGGTTCAGATTACGGGGAGTGCTCATGCTCTTCGGTGGCAGACCGGTTAGTACTGTGGGTGCTTGATGAGGATGTTCGATTCCCGATTTGGGCCAATTTAAGAAACGAACATTTCGAAGTTGGTTTTGGTCTGAGTAATCTGGGTATTGTCCTCAGAGTTATCGTTACTCTGGTATTCACGTTACAGGAAATTAGGCAGAAGTCTGGATATTTTTTTCCCACAAAAAAGAAATTATACATTTTGAAAAACTAATGTTGAACATAAATTATTATCAAGCACTCCTAGACACCCCCATATGCCAATTTTCAAAGGAATCAGAGCAAATTTTTATCTGCCGCCAACGAATGCTTTTGTGGCGGCCATATTTAAAAATAGCGAACAACAAATTTTGACCATACTTCTAGAGACCTTCACATGCCAATTTTCAGCCGAATCAGAGCAAGTCTCTTTCGGCAGCTATTTTGAACAAAAAAAAATTCCACCACATCAGGAAGTATGCGTTCTATTTCTATCAGTGAGTTAGAATTTGTAGCTCTATATATACGTGGGGCGCACTATAAGTTTCGGGAATGAATAAGAAAAAAATAGTATAAATGATCAGAATTGAATTTATTGTTTCTCAAAATATTATCCGTTAACGTTAATGCACTTTTTCATACGAATGAACCAATTTTGGAAACATTTATGCCACAGATCCGTGACAATCTCTGAAACATATTTTTCATACTCTTCGACAGCCTCTTCAAGTCATGAAAATCATTGACCGCGTAACCAATTCTTAATTTTTGGAAATAAATAAAAGTCATTCAGTATTCAACAGAATACAACACTTATTATATTATTATTGTTATTATTATTAATATTTAAAATGGTATAATGATGATAGACCCTAGAAATTAAATTTCATAGGACTGTAAATGGTACAATGCTTTTATTCTTTTTGAGACTCTAATTTGCAAGATTCAACTCATTGCTCTGTTTATATCTGTGGATTGTGAAGCGATATTTCAATATTTCTCGTTGGTGCTAGTAGTGTAAATTTTTTGAATTTGTATTACTGAGAGGTGGAAACCTGGTGGCCTGTCGCACAGGCATTTTTTTTTACTTACATAGTTTAGGCATCAGTCTCCCACAATATTATCCTTACCAAAATCTAACGTGTAAACTGTTCCTAGCTATAATATGTATTTTGTGGAAAAGAATATAAACGTTATTATTATTATAGCAATCATCCGCTTAGAGGCACTTTGCACACGCGCCACTTTGGTTGGTTTCAGCTCATCTCGACAGACCCATACGCTCGATTGCTGCTTTGTTTTGGGATTGTAACTTTAAATCCATGTTTCGTCACCTGTTACTATTGTGTAAGTGACGCAATTCGTTTTTTGAGCCTCAGTCAAATTGTGTGGGATCCACCGAGAGCACAGCTTTTTCACACCCAAATGTTTATGTAGTATTGATTGCATTTGACTCATGCCTATGCCTAAAGACGCCGGAATCTCATGGTATGTCACGCGCCTGTCTGTTTTGATCATACGGCGCACAGCATCGATGTTTTTGTTGTTCACAGCAGTGGACGGGCGACCATCACGAAATTCGTCACTGAGATTCATATGACCGCGTCTGTATTCTGCAAACCAGCTATAAATAGTCGTCTTGCTTGGTGCTTCATCGCCAAAAGCAGTTTGAAGCCGAGCGAAGCTCCGCTGAGCTGTTACATTACATTTAAAGTCGTAGAAGATCATAGTACGAAAATTTTCACGAGTTAAATCCATGGTGATGTAGACAACCAATTTCTAAAATGACGTCACAATGTAAAAACAAGTGACAGTCAGATGAAACAAACTGTATTCTACAGCCAAATAGTTCCATTTTCAAACGGTGTAATTACTTTTTAAACATTGTTTATGTAAGTGGCCAGTTCCGAAACTTTAGTGCGCCCTATGTATAATAATAGTAATGTCCCCGACGAACACACCAATTGCCTGATCTCAAACTAGGGCATTCCCTGTACTATGAGTACCAGAGCAAAGGAATTCTCTCCGGGGCACTACCCGGAACCTACCGGGAATTGAACCCAGGACCTCCGCATCCAGCGCCCAAATGGCGTTCTATAGCAGACTATCTCAGGAATAACTAATTCATCACAACAATGTGTTAAAAATGCGACTCTGCCGCGCAAAGCCGACGAATTGTACATATGTATATCCACCAAAAATAGTCACAAGAAAATGTTACCAGATATAAAACATTGTGCCCAATACTATGTGTAATAAATAAGCAATGGTCAGAATATGGTGTTCTAAAAGAGCAGAAAAAGATTTTTACGTTAAAATGCAAATCTCCTATTTGTGGCTTACAACGTACTTACGTGTGATGTATCGAACTAATTAATATTTTATGGTTTTAACCACTCCATGATGTCACTCCTAGTATATAATATGTAGACATTTATGTACTCTTTTTGGAACATCCTATTCGGACCATTGATAATAAGTAAAGAATGAAGTATTTTCGTTTGGGCTACTATTCTAAAAAAGCATTATGTATTTAGATGATTGATTTTTATGATTCTTTAAAGTTTGTTTCTCTTGCACTAGAAGGTCAAACCGAGAGCGCTTGCGTTCGTGACGCGGTGTTAGCAGCGACGGGCGTAAGGTCGCGCGGGGCTGGATCTGGCCCGCGTCCAGCTCAGGCCATGTATGCACGTATAGCCCATCTTGGTGTACTCCACGACCGACTTAAGGAGTTCATAGACCCAGCCTCTGGACTCATGCCGCAAGGTAATTCTTAAAATAATAATACCTATTTGATTACATGTGTGTTGTAAGGAAATGGCAAGGAATGGTAATTAAAGTAACGGAATTTGAAAAACATATTTTATTTTTAGGCTTGATGGCTGAAGGATTAGTAGCGTGCATCAGAGATGAATTTACTGAATATTATCGCAGCGTCGCTTTACTACAAGCTCAGGTAAATTGTTTTCTATTACCAATGAAACATTGTTAACTAATTTCTTTTTCGATATTTGGAAACTTTTTTGGTAACTACTGTGTATTGTACGACACACACAAAAGTCTTCGCTTTATTCGACAAAAATGGAGTACTCCATCACATGGTTTTATTTTGTATTGGAAATAACGCCGCGCTGTGTTACCTGTGTTTGTGCAAGTGTGAGATTGTGTACGTATTGTGTGCATAAAATATGTTTGAACGGGTGCTGGTAAAATTGCAGGCACATGGGACTTCTCAGCTTATGTCTCAGGGTGATGATGGCAACTGCTATGTACAGGCGTGTTGCTTATCACCAGGCGCACGATATGTTCTTCTCGTTACGTAAAAAAACGCAAGATACACACCAAGCCAAAACCGCTATATCCGATAAAAATGGAGTACACAGTTGCAAGATCTATTTTGTATTGGAATAACGCCGCGCCTGTGTGTGTGCAAGACCTTATTCTCAAAAACATTATTTACATGGACTTCCGCAAAGTAATGCCTGAATCTATTAATTACTTGTGTATTGCATTTTAAAAAGTTTTTTTTTGTAGGCTTGCGATTCCGAGGGTGGTGCTGGTACATTGCGGCGCGTCTGTGTATGGGCTTTAGAACCACTCCATCGTTTGACGTGGTTGGCCAATATCACCCATGCTGCACATCACAAAAAAGGTAACTTTTGTGTAAAGATTGCAGTTGTTACCCAACTGCCCTTAGAGAGAAAGCTAAAATTTTCCGGATGTGAGTATTAGGCCTCGACAATTATTGATTTTCATTTATAGGGTATTGTTATATTTATCTTGGAGTGGCAAATAGGATACACTATGGGAAAATATTAATATTGCGGTCAGTGGATGGTACTTTATCCAACAACTGTGTAATTCCACATATTTAATTGAAATTGAAGAACAATTTTGATACATTAACATTAAAGAAAATTATTACATTAAAACAAATTAGGTGCCTGGCGGCAAAAACTGATAACAGAGAAAAAAAAACTCCAAGCGATAAACTACGTAAACTAAAAGGAGAAACAGCTTCTAGACTTAATTATATAATAAACATTAGACAACATCACATAGTCACTCCGATCCCAAAGTTAGTAACTAAAGGACTTGTGTTATGGAAAACGGAAACAACGACGGTCCCACAAACACGTAGACCCGAGCCAATATAGAAAGGTTTCTCTACATAGAACCCGGGACCTCAGAGGTGGCAACACAGTAAAACCGGTGTGCAAGCCACTCGAACACAGAGGTCGTCAAAACAAGATCCTCAAATTTCACTAGAGCGACGTTGAATGTATGTATTATGAAACGTTTTCTTTTTCAATGCATAAATTATTAAAAACTATCGAATTATGCGAAGTAAACATATTAAAATTTAAATGTTGCAAGCAAATGAGATCACTGCTTCGAAGCTATTACAGGCGAGTATAGTTGGTAAAATATTATTTGGACTAATTCGTCTTATCGCTTCATCCTTAGGACTAAAGAGTGAGCCGTCTCTCTATGTATATAGTGCAAACAACTAGTTTGAATACATTGGCACTTAATTCTAAACGTGACAATCTTTATGTGAAACAAAATTTGTTGAATTAGTGTGAATAGAGTCGGCAGTCGGTATTTTACGAAGTACCTAGTAGTTTAAAAAAACGACCTGAAGAGTAAATAAATAAATTCAGACAATTCGTACGATGGACCAAGATCATTAAGTCAATGTACGCTTTAAGTAAAATAAGTGTTAATGGTTTTATTACCCTATTGTAATAGAACGGGTAAGCCGTTCCAAGAGATACATACATACATCGGTGCAAATAATATTTCTTCAACTACACTTGTTTATCTATCAGTAATAGTAATATGTGCCAGACACTTGATCCTAACACTTGACAGATTACCCGGACTATAACTAATTTCTAAAAGTTCCTTTCCCAAATTGATCTTACCGGGAATCGAACCCGGGACCTCCGCATCCAGCGCCCCACAATGCAAAACGTTAGGCAACCGATGTCGTCAATAACCAAAAAAGAAATTTGTTTGTCGGTGGCTTGAGATCAGTCTAGTTTTTTGTTTTTTATAAGCATTTCCTTTATTTGTCTAAAGTCTCTGCACTACTTCATTACATACGAAAGTACACAACACACTGAAATACTTCTTCTTCACTTCTTCATTTAGTATGAAACTCTTCCCATCACTCATTGGTTACGAGTGACTCAAAGATGAATGAGATGAAGTCGGTTAAAAATAAAAATGTATACCCAATTGAAACTAAGATAGGTGTTCGAACTATAGTCACAAAAATAAATTATTTACGTACACTAATGTATTAACGCGCTTGTATATAGGTGGCGAATTAGCCTCGTGCGTGCACCGGTTCGTACGACACGGTGACGAACGCGTGTCGACATTAGCGCGACGGCTCCTTACAGCGCTCACATACCCGTTACTACTTATGTTGACACGTTGGCTTTTACATGGTAAGACATTGCTTTTTTTTAACTTAACTAAAATTAATGTAAATGCGACCGGGTACATTTTATTCATAACTTTTATGAGTTACAGTCATATACACAAGATACCTGATACCAAGCCGACTTAGCTGACCTTTTGGTTCTGAGCACAAAAATACGGATATTGTTAAACAAACTTAATCATTAAACTGTGAGCCGTAAAATTTGTTTTGGTTTCGGTCCCTGATGACGATCACAAATGAGACGTCATTTGTGAATGACTTTGTAAGAAAGTTTTTAAGCCAATTTGATCTTTAAGGTACAGTTCTTACATATATACAGAATACAAATTTCAACCAGCTTTAGTAAAGCAGTCGTGGCCAAGCGGTATAAGGATTACTTTGCAAGTTAAGGCAAGCATGGTTCGAGTCGCATTAAAAATAAAATACTATTTAGCTTATATTTATGACTATATGATATATATTTTTTGTTTTTAATGTCTCGATAGGTGTAAGGAATGTCTATGTCTTGTTCATACAGAACAATAATTTCTAATTTTAATAATTTCGTTAAATGCCAACGGTTAAGTGTAAACCAAGAAAGAAAACTTTGAAAGTAATTAAAACTGAATAGGTAAATGGGAACGAAACGTGGAACAATGGGTAATCACAGAAGACACGATCGTATGCAAACTGCAGAGCGATTTCGTCATTTATTAATCTATCCATACCCACCCTACACTTTATTAATAATATCTACCCACCCACCTTAGGCAATTTCTAGTGAACAAATATTGTGATTTGTCAACGTTATCATTAAAAAGTTAAACAATGCTTTTAAAAATATAACGTTAAAACAAAATAGTGCTCGTGGAATCGAACCACGGGTATTGTAATTGGCAGTCCATATAACAAGCCGCTCGACCAGTTTATTTAGATGTCAAATGACGAAATTTAGTATTGGTTTTAAAAATATGTTGATTATCTTCAAACAACACTCCACTGTATTGTTTATACTATAAAACTGAAATTGCTTTAATTTTTTATTTGTTCAATACGTAAGATGGGTCTCCGAACCAAAAGGTCGGTTTGGGCATGTTAGGGGGTCAGTATAGTATAGTATAGTATAGTATCTCATGTATATGACTGTACATATTTACAGATACATCCAAAAATTTTAAAATGTTTTAATATTCACACTTAAAGATAAAAGGTTTAATACTCAAAAGAAGTTATTTTTTTCTCAACATTTTTCTGAAATATTTAAAATTTTGTAAATATAATACCAAACTATAACGTTGTTAAGTCTAATTTTCCTTTTTTTTAACTTCACCGCAAGTGTGATGAAAACCATTGTATGTCACACAGGCGGAAAAGCAATTACAAACGTTCGAAGGCCACGCCACGTCCTTCCGTTCGTAATGTTATCGCCCTTGTGAGACGATGTATATTATGTTTCAGGTGAAATTGATGATCCATATCATGAATTTTTCATTGAGAGCAGGAGCGGTGTACCGATAGATCGTATGTGGCACGACAAGTATAGAGTTAGGTAAGAATTCACACAAAACAGACACTATATTTATAAAGAAACAGAAATGGGAAAAAGAAATATTCAAACAGGTGGAAAAAACGTGATGAATAATAAGGTTGATATTAGAAAATGAAATTGTTTTGGATCTGAATCGGCAGTTAGCCGGGACCTGTAAAAAGCCGGAAACGTTGGGTTGTTTGAAGAAAACAAAAATACGCGTTTCTGGTCCAAAAAAGTTATGTGTAAAACATGGACTTAGAAATAAATGGACGACGGGTCTAATACAAAAACCACGAAAAAAATGTCCCAAGTCAACCTATTCGAAATTTAAATTGTAATGTCATCGCAGTATCGCGCTTTCAGTCGAACAAATGAAGACTAAAGCGGAGTTTGGCGCTCTGTATACGATTTTAGCGCCTTACAAGTGCGGACACTTTTTAGCGCGTACCCGACGTCCATATAGTTGTAAGTCAATGGTGTAAAATAACGCACACACTCAACATAGCCCCGCACTAGGGAAACCCTGTATCGCGGGTGCCATGGACACACACATAGACAACCACAAATTACACCCAAACTCATGAGAGAAATAAATGTAGGCCATACAAATATTTCTTCCAGCCCGGGAATCGAACCTGGGACCTCTGCGTGGCAATCCGGCATGGTAACCATTCGGCCACGGAGGCAATTTAAGTCTAATAATTGCGAAAACCTAATAACTCGATAATAAACTAAGAAAAATTCCTTCGATCTGGCTGAATTCGAACCAGCGCCTTCAGAATACTGTGCCTGACGCTCTCTATACCAATTCAATTCAAATTTTTATTTCGGATAAAATATCCATATAGTGTTAATAACAAAATACTTACAAAATATGTTACATAAGTCGCACTATATGTTTCCGGAACTGGCTACTTACATAAACAATATTTAAAAAGTCATTACAACGTTTGAAAATGGAACTCTTTGGCTGTAGAATACAGTTTGTTTCATCTGACCGTCACTTGTTTTTACATTGTGGCGTTATTTTAGAAATTGGTTGTCTACATCACCATGGATTTAACTCGTGAAAATTTTCATACTATGATTTTCTACGACTTTAAGTGTAATGTAACAGCTCAGCGGAGCTTCGCTCGGCTTCAAACTGCTTTCGGCGATGAAGCACCATGCAAGACGACTATTTATAGCTGGTTTGCAGAATTCAAACGTGGTCGTGTGAATCTCAGGGTCGTAATCCAGAACTCTACTCAATGCTCAAGTCAGGTCTTGAGTATGATTTCAAGCGGAGTTTTTATTCCAGAACATTACTCAAGCGTAGAATCTGTAATCGGAGTTCACATGAGTAATGTCTTAATTTTAGAACAATGCTTGAGATTTGTTTCAGTTTTACTGTGTGTTTTACCATGAGATTCGGGCATCTTTAGGCATAAGCATGAGTCAAATACAATCAATACTACACAAACATTTGGGTGTGAAAACGCTGTGCTGTCGGTGGATCCCACACAATTTGACTGAGGCTCAAGAAACGGATAGCGTCACTTGATGCAATGCCATGCTTACCAGATTCAACGAAGGGGCGTTAAATTTGATGTGGGACATAGTAACAGGTGACGAGACATGAATTTAAAGTTACTATCCCAAAACAAAGCAACAATCGAGCGTATGGGTCTTTCGAGATGAGCCGAAACCAACCAAAGTGGCGCGCGTGCAAAGTACCTCTAAGCGGATGATTGCTTCTTTTTTTAATAAAACTGGACACGTGGCTACTGTTGCTTTGGAGAATCGTTGTACCTGAATAGTAACTGGTACACGCCCATTTGTTTACCGGAAGTTATTGACAAACTCCGTAAAAATAACCGTAAACGCCGTATCATCTTGCACCACGATAATGCCAGTTTTCACACGGCCAGACAGACAAATGAATTTTTGAAGGTGAACAACGTTGAACTTATGAGCCATCCCGCGTACAGTCCCGACCTGGCACCTGACTTTTATTTATTTTCAAAAATTAAGAATCAGTTACGCGGTCAACGATTTTCATCACTTGAAGAGGCTGTCGAAGAGTATGAGAAATGTTTCAGACATTGTCACGGACGAGTGGCATAAATGTTTTCAAAATTGGTTCATTCGTATGAAAAAGTGCATTAACGCTAACGGAGAATATTTTGAAAAACAATAAATTCATTTCTGACCATTTTTTTCTTATTCATTAGTGCGCCGCACGTAATATAAATCATCTAAACATCCTAGCTACGGAGCGAACCAGCAGTCCTTACGAATTTTTCGGTGTGCTTGTTTCTATGTGCCGTAGCACCTTCTGTGAGAAATATGTGAAAGTTTTTCTTCACTTAGCCAATGTTTTCTTCTCACAGAGAATGGATGGTTCCGTCATTTATGTCGCGCGAGCAAGCTGCGCAGATATTAGCTACAGGCAAGAGTGTGGTGTTTATGCGCGAGGCGTGCGCGGACGAATTTGGTCCCGGCGATCACGCGCAGCACCTCAACCAGCTGCTAAGACCACCCGGTGAGTTAGTCTGTTTTTTCGTTTGAAAATGTCGCTAAATAAAAAGTCGACCTCAAAGTCATTCATCCCCTAGTTTGCCACCCTTAGAGGTGGAACATTTTCTTCAAATTTAATAGGACCACTTCTGAGTTACCCTCTTTCCAACAACAAAAGAATCATCATAATCGGTTGACAAATCCCAGCCGGAGTTATCGCTTAACATACATACAAATTTGAAGTCGGTTAAAAATAGATTTGTTATAACGCAGCGCGCGGTATACTTGCTACTGCTCTTTTGGTTCTACGGCAATTTAATTGTGACTAGTTAACAGAGAACTCTCGTTTGTTTACTTAGTATGAAAGTTATATAAAAGATTACTCAAATTTACTATTAAACGTAATCTTGCGTTCGGACTGTAGTCGGCGAGACAGAAAACGCCGCGTGGTGGGAATCGGAAGAGTTGTCAGCCGCTGTGGGCGCGGCACACTTAGCGGCGTCACAACGCTTGCTGTCAGCGTTGACTACGCATCACCACCTACTAGATCACCTGACAGCGCACCGTCGATATCTGCTGTTGGCGCAGGGCGATTTCGTGCACCACCTCATGACGCTGCTACAGTATGTAGCAATCATATTATCTATGACTATAGTTTGTGCCATTTAACATGCTAATAGCGGCTATTGACCCGACTTTCATTCCGAAGTCACAAATCTACAGTGACTGATCGTGCCTTCCTATAATTCTGTCGCAATTTTAACATTGCTTGAGTAACATTATAAAAGTCAATGAAATAAAAAAAAGTGTAATTGAGGCATATTACTCTGGGAATTTATGTATTAATATCACATTTATCTTATTGCAATTTAGTATATTAATTATAATTTTAACTTATACATATTTAATGAAATAAACAACACGAATTCTATTATAATACACACCAGAATCATGTCACCTTCCAGTTATTTTGTTTTACATCTGTCGAATATTGTGCATGCCCATGTAATTTTATTGAAACGTATAATTTTAATATTTGTATGCCTAATGTTTGGCCGGACACAGTGAAGCTAATTTTGTTCATGTCAGCTTCTATACGACCTGTGTTTTCACAAATAAATGAATTATGAATGTATTATGCGGAGTACACTTACTTTCGATTAAGTTTCGGGAATATTCACGTTTCAATTTTGGTGTTGTTGAGTTAATTCGTTTTATTAATATTGGTTTTTATTTATTTAATTGATTGGCTTCGTTATATTTTGCAAGAAATAATGGTATCACTTCTTTTAGACTTGGTTACTCATATTGTATTCTGAAATCGACGGTTTCGCTTAGTATTTACATTGTGAGCTCCTAATTATCATTGGAAAAAAAAATCCAATTCTTAATGAATACGTAATCTGTGCGTCGAGGCGACTTCTACCACGGCACGCTATCGACAAAGCATGAAAAAGTAAAGAGATCCTTTTATCATTATTTCCTCCTTTTAGAAACAAAGACCTATATACAGGGTGTCTCACGGCAGAGTTAGGATTTTAAATTTGAATATTTTAAAAACCGTTGCAAGTAAGCGCGGGGGGAGGAACGCAGTAGCTTCGTCATTCGTGCGGATTTGTTAGTCACGATGTCGCAGTGGTCGGGTGAGCACCGCGCGTTCGCTATCGAAGCGTTTTTGAAAGGTGGAGAATCGTACGTCGTGGCTCGAAGACAGTTTTGTTCTCACTACAATATTAGACGTTTACGCGATGGACCAAGCGAAAATTTGATTCGTAAATGGGTTATCAAGTTTCGAGCTACCGGTTCCGCTATAAATCAACCGCGTCCGGGCCCAAGCAGAACTTCAAGAACGGAAGAAACAATAAACGAAGTTGCAGCTAGCGTTCGACGTAATCCACGCTTGTCAATACGCAAAAGAGCGGCGGCTTTAAACGTCACCAAATCAACCGTAGAGCGGATTTTAAAACGTGATTTGAAATTCCATCCCTATAAAATACAGATAGTGCAGGAAATAAATGAAAATGACTACAATTTACGTAAAAGTTTTTGCCAGACAATCATTGAGAGATTTCGCACTTTGAATACTGTGTTTTGGAGTGATGAAGCACATTTCCATTTGAATGGATGTGTTAACAAACAAAATTGTCGCTTTTGGTCACAAGTCAATCCCAGACAAAAACATCAAAGACCGCTGCATAGCCCAAAAGTGACAGTGTGGTGTGCTCTTTCGGTCAATGGAATAATCGGGCCGTATTTTTTTGAAAATGCGACAGGTGCTGCGATAACTGTTTCTGGTGAGGCTTATCGGCAAATGATATCCAATTATTTTATACCCCAACTTCGAGAGCATCCAGCCTACAGCTCAAGAACGTGGTTTCAGCAGGATGGAGCCACTTGCCACACTGCAAGAGCCACTATGGACCAACTTCGTGAATTGTTTCCTCAAAAATTGATATCCCGCTTTGGTGATATTGCGTGGCCTCCGCGATCACCAGATTTGACCCCCATGGACTTTTTCCTATGGGGGTACCTTAAGAGTAAAGTTTACGTCAATACTCCGAGGAATATCGCTGAGCTAAAACAAAATATCCAACAAGAAATACGCGACATCGAGCCGGCTATGCTTAGGCGCGTTATGCAAAATGCGATGAATCGATTCCGTGAGTGCGTGCTACGAAATGGAAGACATTTGGAAGATGTCATCTTTAAAAAATAAAATGCGCATTATAGTTCAATAGTTTTCAATAAAAATCTTTTCACAATAATATGCAAATTGACTTTTATTTCATTTCAAAATCCTAACTCTGCCGTGAGACACCCAGTATAACATAAAAGAACAATTGGGCTCCCGTATTTGAAATCGTTTTTGTTATATATGCAATATACGTCACTTTGAAGCATGATTTAGTAAATAAAGTCTCTTTTCTAGGGACGAATTGAACAAACCTGCGTCCCAGCTGTACGTGCACAACCTGACGTGTACTCTGGAGGCGGCCGTGCGCGCCACCAATGCGCAATTTGAACCGCCACACGTCTTAGCGCGGTTGCACGTCAACCTGTATCCTAACTGTAAGAACAGCATACTAAATTGATTAATTTGCTATCACTACAATCATACGTATATGTCGCGTCTTGTGTGCCGAGTATTAATATTTTTGGATTTCATTATCTGTTCGCACTACCTGGTGTAATGTTGATTTTATCACACTTGTTCAGAACAAACAACAGTTAACAGTATCTTGACATACAGGCAGCAGTAGAGATCCTTGTGAAAGAGTTCGTCCAGTGCAAGTACTGCCACTGCCAATGTTAGCATTACTGCGTGCTGGTGAAATTACAGGCACATGGGACTTGTCAAGTTATGTCTCAGTGTGACGGGCGCTTTGATCTTTGCGATTTAAAGCTCTGAGCGGCACTGCAACTGGACAGTTGGGACAGGCATGTAGCTTGCCATCAGGCGCGCGACTTGGTCGTCCCGTCACTTGATGTTATAAAAAAAAGGCCAAGTCTGCCGGAATATCTTAAATTACGCCCACGGACTTTTTCATTGCATTACCGCCCTATAGCTGTAATGGATTTTTTTAAATTTCATTGCACTGTACTTCTAAATCTGAGTGTATTACGCATAAACTTGAAGTATAGAAAAAAAGTAAACATATGCAGCTTAACTATATTTTACTAAATTATTTGTATTATAGTCGTCACAAAATAAGAGGCACCTTTTGACTTGTGATCGCAACGTAAATAGGACTGTAACTAAACATGTGTAACCACCATATTAAACAGTTCTCTTCTAATTTTATGAGTGTATGGTCGTTTAGATCAAGGGTCTTCAACCCGCGCCCCGCGGTTGCCTCCTTGGCGGCCCGCCATGCCATTAGATTAACAAAAATAAAATTAACATGTCTACAAATTATGCCTATTTACACATTAAAACCGACTATAAAAGAAGGAAATTAACGCGCGTGATCCGAATTTATGTTCTACCTCTACCTACAATTACATACACACGTCAAGTCACGTTTGCATCGCACTGCAGCGCGCACGTATTCTATTCATTCCCTCGCTCATTGCGTTAAAACACGATGCGATTTGAGTTTTCGGTATCAAACGAGTGTGATGGCAGCCAGTACAAGTAGAAAACGCAAGGTCACTGATGAACACAGATCATTCCAAGATAAATGGACGCATTTGTATTTATTCGTCAGTGTCGGGGAAAAACCCATTTGCCTCGTATGTAACGAATCAATTTGTGTGGTAAAAGAATACAATATCAAACGTCATTATGAATCGAAACATTCCAGTAAGTTTGCACATCTTCAAGGACAAATACGAATCGATAAGGTGGAGGCTCTGAAGAAACAACTTCAAAGACAGCAGTATTCATTTCACAAACAGAATGACGACAGTGAAGCAAGTGTAAAAGTGAGCTACATTATTTCGGAAAAAATCGCTCGTAAGTCAAAACCGTTTACTGACGGCGACTTCATAAAAGAATCCATGGAAGCTGCAGTAGAAGTTTTATGCCCCTCGCAAAAGCAACTTTTTTCCAAAATAAGTCTGTCCGGCGTTACAGTCGCAAGAAGAGTAGAAGAATTAGCTGGTGATATCGAACGATCATTAATAATAATAATAATAATAAATAATAAAAATCATTTATTTCAGGCCGTAAGCCCATAAAAAAAAAAAAAACAGCACAAAAATAAAATTAAAAAATAAAAGAAAAGGGGTATTAGTAACACAACACATCTTAAAACTATGTTAGTACAAAATTGACACAATACAATTAATATATACATATGTTAGGAATCACTACCTACTTTATATGTCCAGTAGTGATCCCTAACATGAAATTCAGCATTGCGCTATCAATGCGACACGCAAACATCTCCAGGATGCCGCTGCCACCACCACGCACTCTTTTCAGCAGAGACGTCACTTTTTTGCGTCTAATTGCGTAAAAGTCGTCAGTCCGCGCTTCAGCGAACATGCCGGACGCGCTGCAACGCCGTGGTAGTCCCAACAACATCCTGAAGATGTTGTTGTATTGCACTCTCAGAGTATTGTATGTACTCTGGGTATACCTGACCCATAGACCACTCGTGTACATGGATTGGCAAAAAGCTTTGAAAAGCGTGATTTTTACCTCTCTTGTACATCGAGCGAATCTACGAGCAAGCATATTTCCACGCACAGCCAGAGCCCTGCGCTCCCTCTCTATATCCATGTCGTCTTTTAAAGTGTCTGTTACGACGTGTCCCAGATATTTAAAACTATATGCTCTACCGAGAGGCACGCCACCGAGCACTAGCGATGGTACAACGTTAGGGAGGCGGTTGCCTGCTTTGAAAACAAGCAACTCACTTTTTTTTGAGTTGTACATCAGCCCATACTCGGCCGCATACCTCTCACAAACTGCAACAAGTTTCCTGAGCGCATTTATAGACGGTCCCAGCAGCACGATGTCATCTGCGTAGCAGATGTTATTGACGCACTTGTCGTCAATAACACATCCAACATGCATGCTGCTGAGCTCGTCCAGAAGCCCATTCACATACAGGTTGAAAAGCAGGGGAGACGTAAGGCCCCCCTGCCTCACACCGCATTCCAATCTGTATTCATCAGACATCTCGCCAGCCCATCTCACCTGATTTATTTGGTTACCGTACCAATACTTTAGTAAGTATATACATTCAGCCGGCACATCCGTGTGTCCTAGTCTGTCCCACAACAAGTCGTAATTTACCAGGTCAAAAGCCTTCGACAGGTCTAGGAAACACGCATATACCGGCGTTTTCCTTTCCGTATAGTATTGAACAGTTCGCTTAAGGCACCAGATGGCGCTTTCGGTAGACAGACCAGTACGAAAGCCAAATTGAGAGTCGTTTAAATGTATGTGTCTACTAAGGTGGCCGTTAAGCAAACCGTCCAAAACCTTAGCGGTAACAGTTGCCAGTGAGATGGGTCTATAGTTGGCCATGTCCGACACGTCGCCCGTTCTATTTTTAACAAGAGGTACTACTACAGTTCTCATAAGGCTCTCTGGCAGATATGAGTGTTGCAAACACAACGTGTAGAACATAGCCAGAACTCTCGGCAGATGTACTCCAGCATACCTGAGATGCTCAATGCTAAGACTGTCGTGTCCCGGTGATTTCCCACGCTGCATGCCATTTACGATCGAGGCAACTTCCTTCGCAGAAAAGCTTACGGTACTCTTCCTCACGCCAGTCTTACCATTTTGCACCCCACCCGGCATAGAGATCAACGGAGACCTAACTGTGAATAGGCTTCTAAAATTGTTGGCTATATCTACTTTATCACACGCCCCACCAACGCTCACGGGAACGCCAGAGCTCACATTCCACTTTTTAGTGCTTTTCCAAAAGCCTTTGAAGTTCTTTGCCGAGTGGTGCGAAGCTAAAATGTCACATTTAATTTGCTCTTGTCTACGTTGGCACCACTTCAGTTTTGACTTAAAAAGCTTACGACTTTCGGACATTTCATTAAAAATAACACCATTGGGTGGTTTTCCCGCCGACAACCATTCTTTAAATTTAACCCTAGCGTCTCTATGAGCACTGGCAACATATTTATTCCAGCCCGCAATGTATCCTTTTTTTCTACAGCATTTTTGCTTACTCGACTGTCGAGACGCTGATTGCATTATATTAATTACATGTTTATACATTTCATCCAAGAATATATAATGACTAGGGTCGCAACACATTCTATCTCCACAATGCATTAGTTCAGACGGGAAATCCACCTGTTTCAACTTCTCGTGACAAATAGAGTGATACAGGTCAATCTGAGCATTTTCACGCTCTCCCCACACAATGTCGTTGTATGGTACTTTGGTATTATTACATTTAACCTGTACCACACCAATGTCACATTCAATAAACATAGGCAGGTGGTCGGACCAAAACACGTCATACATAACCCAAACATTTCGAACTGTTTCGCGCGCCGATGCAGTAACAATGCTGTGATCCAACCACCTGTTACAACCATGTGCATCACTAGTAAAAGTGTGCGTACCATACACACAGCCTAACCTCTCCATATCAATACAACACCAAAGCTGTTCGTCACAAAATTGCACTAGTTCCTTCCAGAACAATTCCTCTGGATGCGCATTAAAGTCACCTAAGACATACACTGTTTCAGTTTCCCTATGCTCTTCAATGATTGCACTAATTTTACCTAGACACTCAGTGAAAATCGGTAGATTTTCAGCCGCATTTGTGGGCATATAAACACAAATCACTATCATGGACCTATCATTTACCTCTATCTTTATAGCGGTAAATCTCACATCATCGCACTCAATTATGGAAACCGAACTAAACATGCTTTTCCTCCATAGTATTGCTACTCCTCCATAAGGTCTCCCTCTCAATAAACCTTGACTTGTGTCGACCGCTGATGTACCCGTACTTGCAAAGTCTTCATCCACTGTATTAAGTAGGGATAGGTCATGAGGCAGTAACCATGTTTCCTGCAACGCCAGTATATCTGCCATTTTACACAACTTTCTCACGTCCTCCATGGAACTCTTCAGACATTTACAATTAAAAGTAAGGAGTTTAGTATACGTAGTATTCGGACTACCCATGAGTAAGCTTATTATATATACATATTTCTCCCAAATGTCATAATTGTCATAATTGTTAAAAATTAATAACCACTCTGTAACATTATTGCTTCATTTCCCGCGGATATTTATTACCCATGCCATCTTTTCTGTATGTAATATACTGACGAAAAGATACTCCGTCGGGCCAAAGCTCCGCATTCATGAATACAGGCAGCTTGTGCTTAGGTATGAAGAACTTATACGCCACATACTCCTTTTCATATTTCATGTTCATTTTTACAGGCATAATCGGAACGCTAGTTTTCTTCATAACATAATTCGCAATATCCTTATCGGTCGCCTCTTTATTCACATTATAGATGTAAAACTGAATATCCGCTGCCTTAAACTTCTCATCGGAATCTATATTAGCCTTTCCCTTATTTCCTACAAACTTGTTCCTCAATCTCCTCCTCTGTACTTCAAT